GCTTTCAGGCTCTGGGCCCGAAGGTTTACCTAGAACCCCTACCCTAAAGCCTAAGGGTTTAGGGTTTAGGGTTTAGGGTTTAGGGTTTAGGGTTAAGACCTAAATTCTCTAAACCCTAAACCTAGGACCAAAGGTCTCCCTAGAATCCCTCGGACCCCAAACCCAAGGCCTAGCCTGGTTGGGTGGATAGAGCCAGCTCGCGCTTTCCATGTCCGGATTTGCCGCCTGGGCTTTCCTCAGCTCACAAGCACTTCCAGGACTTTGTAGGGGTTTGGGGGTTTTTCGAAAACCCTAAACCCTAAACCCTTATCCCTAGGCCCCAGGCCCTAAGCCCTAAGCCCTAAGCCCTAAGCCCTAAACCCTAAACCCTAAACCCTCCTTCACCCTTCCTCACCCTCAGCCCGAAGCCGCGGAGATGCAGAGCTACGATGGTTGGTGGCCCACACGTCCCCAACCCGCTGCATCCTAAGCCTCGCACCCGAAAGCCCGAAACCCTACACCCTGTAACCCTAAACCCTAAGCCCTATAACCCTGTAACCCTGTAACCCTGTAACCCTGTAACCCTGTAACCCTGTAACCCTGTAACCCTGTAACCCTGTAACCCTGTAACCCTGTAACCCTGTAACCCTGTAACCCTGTAACCCTGTAACCCTAAACCTTGTAGCCCTAAACCCTAAACCCTCAACCCTACCAGCAACTACCCTCAGCCACACTGGCGGCTAAAGGAATCTTGGTCGGGGGCGGGGTCTGGGCCTGAAGACCCTAAAGCCCCTGAAAAAAGAAACATCCCAAAAAATCCTGCAGATCCTTTCGGTTTGTGGTTCGGGCCGGGACTTCCGAGTTTTGGGTTCTAGAGAGTTTTAGGCCTTGGGGCTTTAGGATGTTAGGGGTTTGGGGGGTTGGGGACGTTGGCAGGGTTTGGGCGTTCTAGGCGGAGGCTGAGAGCCGGTTTCGCGCTCGCAGGATTTAGGGTTCAGGGGTGTACGTAAACCCCAAACTCCATGAGAAGGCAAAGCTGACCCGCCAGGCTCTTTAAGGCTTGCGTTTGGAGTCTTGTTAGGGTTTAGGGTACATCTTGGGATGTTCCTCCTTACACTAACAGTCCTTCCTAGGGATTTAAAATAGGGGGTACTCTAATCCCTTTTAAGGACTGTTGGTATAAGGGCTAACATCCCAAGGTACATCCCAAGGCGTGCGGCGCCCCCAAAAAGGGCGCGAAACTTTTCCGGCCGGCTGTCGCGGGAAGCGTCGGACTCCAGGAAGCACTCCACCTCCTGCGCCTTGTCCTTCCCGGAGGCGAAGGCGCCTTGCAGATATCCCGACCACCTGGGGTGGAGCGCCTCCCCGGCCAGGAACAGCCGGCCATGCCGGGCATTGACCACCTCCCAGCTGCTGTCTTTCCTTTGCTGAACTTGGAACCCTGGCAAAAGTTAGAAGTTGTCATCTTAGCTGCTTCTTAGGAATTATAGTACCCAAAGGTTTTAAAATTATTCCCAAGTATCCCTAAGTTTCATGGAGTGGGTGGGAAGGAAGGAGTAGGAGCCCCTGAAGAAGGGATCCGACGACCAGCGGGTGGCCTCAACTGCCTGGATGGCGGGCGGGTGGAGGTACATCTCGGCCAGCGCCGCCGCCAACTCCTCAGGGTAGCTTTCCATGGTTTAGGGTTTAGGGTTTAGGGTTTCGGGTTTAGGGTTTAGAGTTTAGGGTTTAGGGTTTACGGAATAGGGGTACCCCATTTATACCCAAATAGAATGGAAAGCCCCTTAAAAGGGACCTCCAAAAAGGGTACCCTACTTCGGAAACCTCCACATCTGCGGGTCCATCTTATGGAGTGGCATTCTTGTGAGTACGGACACACCCCACAAAAGAGACCCCCATTTCGGACTTGGAGGGCACGCCTTTTTGGGGTTGGTTACTTTGCAAGGGAACCTTGAGCCGAAAAAAGGAGAAAGGGTACCTCTGGGCTACCAATTTCAGTGAGAAGTGCCTGCTTCAACGCTTCTTCCGTGAGCTTCTCGGCCCGACGCCCCTCGTCGCCGGTGGCAGTGACGATCGCCAGATCCTTGGGGGGACGAAGTGACCCCAAAAAATGGCAGGCCTTACTGGGAGGGTTTGGGGTTTAGGGTGGGGTTGGGTAGGGTTTAGGGCTTATAACCCATTTTGCCTGTATAGTTATTTGTAGTAGTATAGGGTATACGAACCCAAATTTCAGGGTTCATGTAATTCCTAGACCCGAGAGTAACCTGGGAATTAAAAGGGTGCCCTTTTTGGTTTAAAGGGGCTTGTAAGGCAACCCAAACCCTAAGAAAAGGGAACAAGGGCCCCTACCCTGGGTCCTAGTAGCCCTAAACCCTAAACCCTAAACCCGAAACCCTAGACCCTAAACCCTAAACCCTAAACCGTGTATTTCCCCCAAGGATCTGGCTCCAGGGGCTGCCAGACCACCCAGCGCCCCCGGGGCAGCCCGGCCCGGAGGGCGTAGCGGGGCCCGGAGGGCTCCCAGAGTGGCCCCGCCAGCTTCACGAAGACCTGGTTTGGGGTTTAGGGTTTAGGGTTTGGGGCTTGGGGTTTAGGGTTTAGGGTTTAGGGTTTAGGGTTTGGGGTTTGGGGTTTAGGGTTTGGGGTTTAGGGTTTAGGGTTTAGGGATTAGGGTTGAAAGTCATCCCTTAAAGATTTTTGAAGGAATGAAGTACCCCTAGATCATCCCTTAAAGGGAAACGAATAGGGTAATTCATTCCCTCATCCCCTACTAAGAACCAGGGGGCCTTGGTGTAGCAGCACATCCTCATGGACCCAAGCCTTGGTCCAGCCCAGCAACCACTACTTGCAATAATCAAGCACACCCTTTTTGTGAAAGGTTGGGTACTTTAAATAAGAGAACCTAGGACTCCCCCCCCTCAAAAAAAACAATATATATATATATATATATGTATATATGTATATATATGTGTATATATATATATATATGTAAGGAACCACTGGGCCACCAAGAAGCGCGTCCGCCATGGGCGCGGGCAGCGGCGGGGAGAAGGCGATGGCGCCGGCGTTCAGGACGCCCACGCTCACGGTGCAGAGCACCGATCGGGCAAGCACCTGCCTCCCATCCCGGCAGCTCACCTTCTGGCTGGTTCTTATAGTAGGGAACCCTAGATCCCTCTACATAATACCCTTTAAGTTTAGGGTTTAGGGTTTAAGGGATTTTAGAGGGCACCTCATTCCCCCATTCCCTACAAAGACCCAGGGGGCCTTGACGTGGTCAGGGGCTTGATCCACGCGCTCCACGATGCAGTTGAGGTGCACGGTGGCATTTTCCGGCACGGCAGGCGCGATCGTCACGAAGCCCCGAGCATCATCCACGAAGAAGTTCCTATACTCCCCTTAGAACCTTAATAAAATATGTTTCTTAATATCCTCGTGGGCTTTTTCTGAACAAAAATAGAAAAGATCCCAAGGGGGATATAGGTTCTCCTCGCTGAAATCATCCCAGGTGTGCTCTTCGTGGACATTGTGCTTGACGGAGATCTGGTCGGAGCTCTCCCCATACCTTGGGGACGACATGAACCCTACAAGGGTTTATGGCTCATATAATACCTTAGTAGGCATGATAGTAGTATAGGGTATATGACGCCAATTTTAAGGGTTTATGCCTCATATACCTTAATAAGAACTCTATAGTCGTAAAGGGTACATGACCCCAGTTTTGGGGTTCATATTTTGGTCCCCAAGGTACTCAAAGTCGACCATCCAAAACTCCACCGCCGCGTCTACGGCCCCAGATGCGGGGGGCCAGCCATGCTGCGCCAAGGCCTCCGCCAGGCTGAGGTCCGGCGTCGCCTTGCCAGCCTCACCATCCTCCACGCGCTCCTGCGCGTGCTCGAAGGCCTCCATACGTCCCATGGCCTCTTCAGTCACATCCACAGGCCCTTCGGGGCCTTTGAGGAGGAACACCGTTCCGGCTTCGTCATCCAGGTGGCCTCGCAAGCCGCAGGCCTGCGCGCGGCTCCAGATCGGGTTGGCGCCAAGCCCTTGGACCCAGTTGGCCCCTTCCTCCACCCGGCGCCCGCAGAAGTCCCGGCTGCGAAGACGTCCGCCCAGCTGCGCAGAGGCCTCCAGCAGCACGCAGCGATGGGAGGCGGCCAAATGATCCAGGGCAGTCAAACCGGCCAGCCCACCGCCTATGATGCACACGTCCACGCCGCCATGATCGCTCCATTCCGAGCTGGCCATGGCGTGCGTGCTGAGCCAAAGCTTGCAAGCACAGAATCCAAGCGAAGTGTGTGTAACGTGTGCAACGTGTGTACATGGCCTCCCTTCATTCCTGGAAACCCTGAGGCCCAGCCAAGGTTCAGCATCCACGTCATGCTGCTGCGGTCGATGTCCGAGTGGTACCCCGTAAAGGCCGCCGCCTCATTGGGCGAGGTCGTCACATCGAGCAGGTCCTTGCCGAACTTGATGTGAGCCTGCGTGTAGAAGCCAGCGAGCCGGGCTTACTAAACCCTAAACCCCAAACTCTAAAGCCTAAACCCTAAACCCCAAACCCTAAACTTCAGGGCTCAGGGCGGCGAAGGGAATCACAGGAGTGCTTTGGGGTCTCAGGGCTGTTGGGAAACCTTACCACCCCAAGAAGACGAGGGTCCAACTTCAACTCCCTAAACCCTATACCCTGAACCCCAAACCCAAACCCTAAACCCTGAACCCTAAACCCTAAACCCTAAACCCGAACCCCAAACACTAAACCCTAAACCCTGAACCCCAAACCCCAAATCCCAAATCCCAAACCCTGAACCCCAAACCCCAAATCCCTAAACCCTAAGCCCTAAACCCTAAACCCTAAACCCAGGCAAGCCTGGGAGTGGAAGAAGTGGGGATAGATGGGCGACGTCTTCTTGCCGAGGTGGAGCCTTTCCCGGACGAAGCCGTAGAGCATGTAGTCCTGGTGAAGGCTTAGGGTTTAGAGGGTCACTGTTCTAGCATTCATTCCAGGCTTAGGAAAAAAAGCCACCCGCCCAAAGAATCCCATAACATTAAGAAAATAAAAGGTTTCATCTTCCCCCAAAGAATTTTACCTACCCACCGTTTAGGGGGTTTCGGGGGTTTAGGGGGTTTAGGGGGTTTGGGGGGTTTAGGGGGTTTAGGGAGTTTTGGGTTTTGGGTTTCGGGTTTTGCCCGAAAACACAGCAAAGCTGGTACCACCGGGCGTGGGGAACCGCACTTTAAGACACTCCAAGAAAGGTGAGGGCGTTCGAAGGGACCTTGAATTTGCCCATCGAGATCTGGGGTTTCCGAAATCGGTCTGAGGATCAGGCTTCAGGGAAATTGAGGGCTTGGGGCTTCATTGGGGCTTAGGGTCAGGGGAATCCGAAGTCAAACGCTAATTGGGGCTTCTGGTGGCTCAAGAGCTTCGCAAGCGTAGGACATGGAATCCGAAACCCGAGCCCCCTCAAGCGCCCCCTCAAGCCTGTACCTGTTCAGGGCGTACTTTATGAGAAATCAAACCTCAGAAGGTTTAAACCTTGATTTCCACCACTCAAAGGCTTCACTTACCTTCTCCGTATTTTGGAAGGAGACGAGAATAGGCAGCCCTAAACCAAAAGGCCCCTCAGTAATCATGGACTGTTGCTATAAGAAGGTTTCCACGCAGACTTCAATATAAACCCCAAAAAGGCCCCACATTACCCCAAACCCACGGTCCCTACGCAAGCTGCTTCTTTCGGGTTTAATTAGGGTTTAGGGTTTAGGGCTTAGGGCTTGGGGCCTCTCAAACCCTGAGCCCTAAACCTTAACGCCACAAACCCCAGCGCAGTCCCCACACATCGTCTTCATGATTTCCTGCAGCACTTGCGTGAAGGCGTCGGATTTCGTACTCTCCTGCAGCCCAGGTCAGGATTTTATGTACAATTTGTTGGGGTTCAGGGACTCTAGAAGAAACCCTGAATCCGAACCTAGAAGCCCTGAACCCCAGAAACCCTGAACCCTAGCAACCCCAGAAAGCTTGAACCCTAAAAACCCTGAACCCTCGAAGACCTTTTTTGGAACCCTAAACCCCCGAACCCGGCCCCTGAAAGACCCCTAACACCCCAATGCCAGATTCCCAAAGGAGGGTCCAGAGTTCGCTTAGGGCCTCTTGTGGGGCGTTTAGGGTGTTTAGGGTTTTTAGGATTTAGGGGTTTAGGGTTTTTAGGCTTTTTGGTGGGAATTGCCACTTGGGTCATCTTGGGGCTAGAGGGGGATCGGCAGGAATTGCCATCTTGGGTCATCTTGGGGTTTAGGGGTCGGGGGTTTGGGGTGAGCCTAGCCCTGAACGCCTTGCTATCACAGAGGCCCCTGGGGCAGCCTAGACAGGACCAGACCACGTACGCTGAACCCTAAACCCCCTAAAACCCCTAAACCCCCCCAAGCCCCTATACCCCCTAGACGCCCAAAACACGCCCAAAACCCCCTCCCTAAACCGCCCAAACTCCCTTAGACTCCCTTGCACTCCCTGACGCTCCCTTAAACTCGCTTAAAGTCCCTGAACTCCCTTAAACTCCCGAATAGGGATTATCGTACCCCTACCTTTTTTCCCTAGTAAGGACTGTTAGCACAAGGGGGAACAACCCTAAACCCTAAACCCTAAACCCTAAACCCTAAACCCTAAACCCTAAACCCTAAACCCTAAACCCTAAACCCTAAACCCTAAACCCTAAACCCTAAACCCTAAACCCTAAACCCCAACACTTAGTACAAGGGGGGGGAAATGCCAACCAACACCCCCAAAAAGCGGCTCCCTGAGCACCTCCTCGGCGGCCGCTGCAAGCTCCCGGACGGCCTTGCGCACGCCAGTGCCATAGTCGTCCTGGCATGGGTTTTCCCTACTACCTAGGGTTTAGGGTTTAGGGTTTAGGGTTTAGGGTCTAGGGTTTAGGGCCCCCTCTATACTACACCCCCCTAGGTTCTTCCCAGAATCTTTTGGCTATTTAAGGATAATCAAGCCTGGCTAAAGGCTTCGGGCTTAGGGCTTGCGGCTTAGCGTTTCGGGGTTGAGGGGTTTAGGGTGTAGGATTTAGGGTTAGGATTTAGGGCTTAGGGCCTAGGGCTTATTGGTTTGGGGTTCAGTGTTTGGTCCCGCAATCGTCCTGGCTCAAGGCGTAGGGCTTGGGAGTCACAGCTTTGGAGTTTAGGGCTTAGGATTTAGTATTTATAAGGGTTTAGGGTTCAGGGTAAGTTCTGTACCTTAAACACCTCTTAAACCCCCTCAAACCCCAAAAGCCTAGACCCCAAAACCCTAAACCCGAAACCCCCTGCACCTTAACCCTAAACCCGAAACCCCCCCAGAACCTAAACCCTAAACCCGAAACTCCAAAACCTAAACCTTCAGCGGATACGAGTAGGGGACCCTTGGGGATATAGACCTTCTGAATAAGGTCCCTGTTTAACAGATCCAGAAGAGGGTTAAGAAGGGTTCCCTTTAAGGGTCCCCCTTATCCTACCTAGGAACCCCAAACCCTAAACCCCAAACCCTAAACCCTTCCACCACAACCGACCTGCTTCAGCGCATCGGCGCGCGTCTCCATCTCCGGCAAGATCAACTTGCGGAAGACCTCCAGGAAGCCTGCAAGGCACGTCGGTTTCTTCCTTTGTTCATCAGGGTTTAGGGTTTCGGGTTTCGGATTTAGGGCTTCGGGTTTAGGGTTTAGGGTTCGCAGCCCGCAACCCCATTAAGAACGGGCTCGCAGGTCGAAAGCCGGGTTTTGGGTCGAGCGCTTCTGTAAGCGCCTGACCCTAAACCCCGACGAGGGCTTGAGGGGGGGTTTAGGGTTTAGGGTCTAGGGTCTGGGGTCTAGGGTCTGGGGTTTAGAGTTTTGGTTCCTATGCCTTAAACCCCTAAAGAGATGCATGAGTTAAGGCTAGCTCGGACTTTGGGGCTCTAAGGGCCTTTGAGAGGCTTGCAGGGACTAGGGGGCTTTAGGGAGCTTTCAGGGCCTTGGGTAAGGGTCGAGGGTCGAGGGTTGAGGGTTGAGGGCTGAGGGTTGAGGGTTTAGGGTTTAGGATTGAGGGTTGAGGGTTGAGGGTTGAGGGCTGAGGGTTTAGGTTGAGGGTTGCGGGTTTAGGGTTCAGGCATAGGGGCTTGTAAGGGCTTATGGCTCTTACTACGGGCACGCTGGTCCTGGCTGCACGCTGATGCGCTCGAACCGCTGGCTGCACATGAAGGTGCTCATCTCGATGCAGTCCTGGGGGAAAGTGGAGCTTGCCCGGGGGGGGGGGGGGGGGGGGCTCCGGGATCCAAGGTTTAGGGTTTAGGGTTTAGGGTTTAGGGTTTAGGGTTTAGGGTTTAGGGTTTAGGGTTTAGGGTTTAGTGTTTAGGGTTTAGGGTTTAGGGTTTAGGGTTTAGGGTCTAGGGTTTAGGGTTTAGGTTTAGGGTCTCGGGGCTTCGGGACATGGAGGGATTTCTTTGGAAGGAGTGTCCTGTACTACACCTTGAGGACTAAGTGAACCCTCAAAGGGTTTATTGTCCGCAGACCTTGATGGAGGGTTTAGGCTTTAGGGTTTAGGGTTTAGGGTTTGGGGTTAGGGGTTAGGGGTTTGGGGTTTAGGGTTTAGGGTTTAGGGTTTAGGGTTTAGGGTTTAAACCTAAACCCTAAACCCTAGACCCTAAACCCTAAACCCGAAACCCGAAACCCAAAACCCTAAACCCTAAACCCTAAACCCTAACCGTCCTGCCACTCCATCCAAGTCCGGACCTGGCTCAGGTCCGTGCAGTTGTCGAAGTCCTGGTTTAGGGTTTAGGGTTTAGGGCTTACGGTTCAGGGGCGCCGGGGCTTGGGGGTTGGAGGGGTTTCGGGTTTAGGGTTTAGGGTTTAGGGCTTGAGGATTCTTAGGGTTTCGGGTTTAGGGTTTAAAGGATTCTTAGGGTTCTTGGGGTTCTTAGGGTTCTGAGGGTTCATATCCTTTGGGGTTCTTAGCGTTCTTGGGGTCCTAGGAATTCTTGGGGTTCTGACGGTTCTTGGGGTTCTTGGGGTTCTTCGGGTTCTGGAGTTCCGGAAAGAGCCACGGTTTAGGGTTTAGGGTTTAGGGTTTAGGGTTTAGGGTTTAGGGTTTAGGGTTTAGGGTTTAGGGTTTAGGGTTTAGGGCTGTTAGGGTTCTTAGGGTTTCAGGGATTCAGGGTTTAGGACTGTTAGGGTTCTTAGGGTTTCAGGGATTCAGGGTTTAGGAGTGAGGGTTGGGTTTTCGGGGTTTGCGGGTTGAGGGGCTTAGGCTTCAGGGTTTCAGGTCTTGCGATTTTGGGGGGTTCTTGGGATTCTCATCAGTTTGCTCGGGGCATTCCTGATTTTATAGGACCCTAGACCCTAAACTTAAACCCTAAACCCTAAACCCTAAACCCCTTCGGTGTTTGGGGTTGAGAACTGAGCGAGGATCGGGGATTCGCTCTTCGCAGTGATACCATAAAGCCGACCTACCATCCTACTGGTTCGTGGTACTTACTAACCAACGATTAACTGTACTTATGGCCCACTTACAAGCCCCTTAAGTGCCCTAACATGGTGATAAGCACAGCTATAAGTACAGTGAGAATTAATTGGTTCATAAGTACCATGAACCTACCATCTTAGGGCGGCTACATAGTGGCCCCTTCGTAAATATGTACACCCATTCAAGCCCGGGTCCTTCAGATCGCTAAGGCCCCAAATCCCTAAACCCTAAACCCTAAACCCTAAAGCATAAACCCTAAACCCTGAAACGGTCCATGTAACTAGTCTTAGACACGATCGTGCACTGAGGTATCCCCTAAGACTGCCCAGGTCCTCCTCAGTGTAGACAATCTCGTAGGTGCCGCCTAACGGGCCCAATGCGTCCGGATCTTCCGGCCACCGCGCCACCACCGGGGTGCAGTCGTCGTGGGCGCGCAGGAACTTGGCGTTCCGGGTTTTGAGGGCTCCGGGTCTTGGGCTTACGGCTGCTTCCTGCCCTACAGTTCAAGGACTTTCGTCCTCGTTGCCTGTAGTAATTTGTCGGGTTCTTGATGGTTGCAGATACAATCCCAAGCCCTACACGCGGTTTGGGGTTTAGGGTGTAGGGCTTTGGGGAACCTAAGCCCTGAATCACCCTAGCCTAAACCCGACCCCCCCCCCTAACCTAAAAGCCATCCTGAACCCTAAACTCCTAAACCCCTAAACCCTAAACCCTAAAAGCCCCCATTTCGAGGGGCGGTGGTATGCTTGTCATCCTCCCCACACTCGCAGGCGGCGACGCCGCAGCAGCGGTCGCAGGTACTGGCCTTCGTGCCGCGGAAGTACCTGAGAGTCCCCCCATAAAATGGATTTAGGGTCTAGGGCTTAGGGCTTAGGGCTTAGGGTTTAGGGTTTAGGGTTCCCTGAAGCCTTACACTTTAAACCCTTGGGACCCATACTTCGAGGTTCATGGGCACTTACAACCCCACATATAAGTCTACTAAGAACCTACAGTACTTTAGGGTTAGGGTCTAGGGTCTAGGGTCTAGGGTTTAGGGTTTAGGGTTTAGGGTTTAGGGTTTAGGGTTTAGGGTTTGGGGTTTAGGGTTCAGGGTTTGCGGATTAGGGTCCCTGAACCTCCCTTAAGTCTGGTCCAAGGCACTCCTTGGTAATGCACGGGTTGCCCGCAGCAAGGTGGCTCTTGTTGCCGAAGCGCTCGCTTGTCCAGTGGGCCACGGGCCAATTGGCGAAGAGGCCATCCACGACCTCAGGGGGTGCGGCGGAACCCTATAAGGACCCCATAAACCCGATAAGCTCTATAAACCCGATAGACCTAAACCCTACAAACCCTATAACCCCACAAGCTCTAAAACCCTAAACCCTATGCTGTGACCCCTACTCCCAGGACCCCACGCCCGACTTAAACCCAAAACCTGCAAGCACCCGGAGAAAACTCGAAGAGGTGGGAGCAGTCTGTCCCAGGACCCTGACTCAAGGGTTCTGGCCCTAAACCCTCAAACCCTGAGCCCTAAACCCCTAAACCCTGTTTTGAGCTTGGGGGTGAAATCGGGGTGTTGGAGAGGGGTCCAAAAACTACAGCCTTAGAACCGAGAGAAAGCAGATGTTGTCTGGGGAACTAGTTCAGGGTTTAGGGTTCGGGGTTTCGGGTTTAGGTTCCTTAGTACTGGGCATGATACACCCTATTATATTGCCAACATGTACCTTCGCGTCCTTCCCAACCGGGCCCCCAGACCTTGAGCTTTAGATTTGGCGGGGTTGAATGTCGTATTCAGGGAAGGTTTAGGGTTTGGGTTGTAGGGTCTGAAATTTAGGGGTTTAGGGTTTAGGGTTTATGGTTTAGGGTTTGGGGTTTAGGGTTTAGGGTTTAGGGTTTAGGCTTCTGGGCTGGCTGGTTGCACAAGCGGCTGCGTGGTTTGGCGGGGCCCCGTAGTAGGATCCGAAGAAGTTGTTGGTGAAGATGTACCTGTAGAACGGGCGAAACACACAACTCCAAACTCCTCAACCCTAAAAACCCTAAACCCTAAACCCTAAAACCCTAAAGTCAACCCAAAAGCCTCAAGAAAGAATTTGAAAACACTGAGCCCCAAACGTTAAAAACCCAAGCTCAGCTCTGCACCCTGCATGGCTTCCACCCCTCTTACCTATGTTAGGGTAGGCAGGCGCTGTCGAATGTTCAACGAGACCATAAACCCAAGCTCAGCTCTGCACCCGAGGCGTCCGCCCGCGAGCCCCTGAACCCTCACATCCTCACATGAGCTAAAGTACCCCAAGGGGGGCCCTAAACCCTAAACCCTAAACCTCTGGCAGTTTTGTCACGAGCCTGTGTTGGTCACCCAGAAGAAAGTCTTCGGTGATCCCCCGTGGCCGACTCTGAGCTCCCTTGAGAGAAAAGTGTCCTTCACTACCCCTGAACCCTAAACCCTAAACCCTAAACCCTCCCTGCTTCCAGAAGGTGCTTCCGACTTCCCAAGCTAGTCCTGGCCCAAGGAAGCCTCGAAACCCACGGAGCCCTCGAAGGTTTCAGGGTTCAGGGTTCAGGGTTTAGGGCTTAGGGCTTAGGGCTTCGGGTTTAGGGTTTAGGGTTTAGGGTTTAGGGTTTAGGGTTTAGGGTTTAGGGTTTAGGGTTTAGGGTTTAGGGTTTAGGGTTTAGGGTTTAGGGTTTAGGATTTAGGGTTTGGAAGCTGGGCCCAACAAAAAAAGCTCCATGACAAAGAGTTTCGCTCACAGACTTACCCACAACGGAAACCTGAGAACTGTGCCAGACATTTGCATGCGCGGACGCGAACCTGGACGCGAACAACGTCCTTCCGCCTAGCCTCCAACCTTTTTTTAAACATTCGATGTCCAAACCCTGAGCCATGCCAAGTTGAACAAAGAATCTCGAACCGTAAACTCAACTCTAGCCACGAGCTCTACCTCCCGAACCAAGACCCTGCGCTACGCCGAAGCCCCAAACACCAAATTCAGCTCCAAACCATTGATCCCGAGCGCTAATCGCAACTTGGAAACTCCGAAACCCTTCTGTGATCCCTACGAAAACCCCAAACCCTAAACCCTAAACCCTAAAACCTAAACCCTAAACCCTAAACCCTAAACCCCAAACCCTAAACCCTAAACCGACAGAGGCCGCGGCTTCGCCGGGTCATTCCGGTACTTCCCGCCCACGGCGTCGTAGGCCATGTTCCAATACGGCATGGCCTTCGGAGGAGGGTTTAGGGTTTAGGGTTTAGGGTTTAGGGTTTATTGTTTAGGGTTTAGGGTTTCGGGTTTGGGGTTTAGGGTTTAGGGTTTCGGGTTTGGGGCTTAGGGTTTAGGGTTTAGGGTTTAGGGTTTTTAGGGTTTAGGGTTTAGGGTCTCGGGGCCTCTCAGCGTTAAGGGGCTTGAGGAGTTGAGGGTTTGGGGTTTAGGAACTCAGGTGGCTTAGGGTTTCAGATCCGAGGGCATATATGGTTTAGGTTGTGGGGGGGGGGGGGGGGGGGGTTTGGGATGTCACGTCCAGGCTTAGGATCTTGGGGTTTTGAGGTTTCGGGCTGTAGTTTAGGGCTTGGGCTTTTCTATCCAAGCTCTACAAAACCCTAAACGCCCTAAACCCCCTAACCCCCTAAACCCCCCAAACCCTAAACCCCCAAACCATGAACCCTAAACCCTAAACCCTAAACCCTTAAGGGGCTTGCTTCCTTGCCCGGAGAGCAGAGCCTCGATGGAGGGATCGACGGCGAGCAGGGCCAGCTCGTACTTCAGGAGCAGGGCCCGGTGGAAGGTCATGAACTGAGGCCCGAAATGTCCCTCGTCACCTTGGCAGGGTTTAGGGTTTTAGGGTTTAGGGTTTAGGGTTTAGGGTTTAGGGTTTAGGGTTTAGGGTTTAGGGTTTAGGGTTTAGGAGGGGGTTTAGGGGGTTTAGGGGGTTTTGGGGGTTTAGGGGGTTTAGGGGGTTTAGGGGGTTTAGGGGGTTTAGGGGGTTTAGGGGGTTTAGGGGGTTTAGGGGGTTTAGGGGGTTTAGGGGGTTTAGGGGGTTTAGGGGGTTTAGGGGGTTTAGGGCGCTTAGGGGGTTTAGGGGGTTGAGGGGCTTAGGGGGCTCCCAAACAAGAACTCCCCAAGAGCTGAGACCCGAGAACCCGAAGTATCCGAGGCCCTTACAGCGAGGGTCTGTCGTCGCGCAGGAATGGAGCATGAGCATGTCCTTAGGCTTTCAGCCCTAAACCCTAAACCCTAGACCCTTTACCCTAAACCCTAAACCCCAAGCCCAATTTGCAAACCCTAAGGCCTAAACCCTAAAACTTCTCTGTTGACCTGAACCCTGAACCCTTCCTGCTCTGACCTGACTTGGTTAGGCTCTGAGGCCGGAGTTTGGGGAGTTTCGGGGCCGGGTTCTGGAAATGTTTGGGATCATGGTCCGTGGGGTAGGGCTTAGGGGTTTCGGGTTCAGCGGTTTAGGGATTTAGGGTTCGTGCTTAGGGTTGAGGGTTTCGTGTGGAGTGCGGAAATGCGGATGTAAGGTGCTTTGGGGGTCGTGGGTTCCAAGCCTTATAGTGCTTATACAACCCTAAACCCTACACCCAAAAACCCTAACCCCAAAACCCAAAGCCCTAAACCCTCAACCCTCTAAAGTTCAGGTGAGCGTCGTCATGGTTGTGGAAGTTCGGGCCATACTTACGCTGGCCCTCCTCCTCGGAAAGAGTCTTGACGGTCCAGAAGGCTTTCGCCACCTCGCCCAGCGGCCCACAGTTTAGGGTTTAGCGTTGAGGGTTTGGGGTTTAGGGTTGAGGGTTTGGGGTTTCGGGTTAGGGTTCCTAAATCCTCAACCAAAACACTAACCCTAAACACTAAACACTCCACACTACACCCCAAACACAAGACCCTAAGCACGAAACCCTAAATCCGAAGGCCTTTGTAGGAGTAAGCAGGGCTGGGGACTTGGGGACGTAGGCCTGTGAAGACAGGTTTTCAGCCCCTAAACCCCAAACCCGAAACCCTAAACCCTAAACCTTCCTTTAAGGGGTGCTGCTGAACCTCCGGGAAGTTTTTGCGGCCTTTTGCTTCATCTCCTCGCTGAGCGTGCGCCACTCCCGCCGCACCCGCGGCTTGTTCTGGAACCTTTTTTCGGGCTCAGGGTTTAGGGTTTAGGGTTTAGGCTTTAGGGTTTAGGGCTTCCGGTTTAGGGTTGAGGGTTGAGGGTTGAGGGTTGAGGGTTTAGGGTTTAGGGTTTAGGGTTTAGGGCTACTTGTTTAAGAGCCCCAAAAAATCGAAATCATCCTTATCCGGGCCGGTTGGCCCTTGAGGGTCTAGGGCTTGGGGTTCTTTGAACGCCCTCGAAGCTTGACTGTGGACGAGGGTAACTGAAATCCGAGACCCTAAACCCTAAACCCTAAACCCTAAACCCTACACCCTAAACCCTACAGGCGGCCTCCAAAGCAGAGAATCGACGGAGAGAACCCTGCATGGGAAACCCCTAAAGAGGAACCCCAAACATTACACAGCCCTAAACCCTAAACCCTAAACCCTTATTACACAGCCCTAAGGGGAACTATCCCCTAAGTAGGAAAGAAGGCTCTCCGGAAGGACCCTATAAGACGAGGTCCTCACAGAGGCCCTCAAAGAAGGCCTCCAATGAGACCCCAGAAGCACATAAGAGGCAAACACCCCCAACCCTAAATCCTAAGACCCTAGGACCCTGAACCCCAAGACCTTAGACTTAAACCCTAAGCCCTAAATCCTAAGACCCTGGACCCTGAACCCGTAAACCCTAGACCCCTATAAAACCCTAAACCCGGAACCCCTATAAACCCTAAAACCCCAAACCCTAAACCCTAAACCCTAAACCCTAAACCCTGAACCCAAAGACCGAGACCCTAAGCCTAAGAAATCCCAATGCCTCTTTGAGCCCCAAGACCCTGAACCCTAAACCCTAAACCCTAGACCCTCAGCCCTAAGCCCTAAACCCTAAACCCCAAACCCCGAACCCCAAGACCCAAAAAAGCCCAGGCGCTTGAGCTGCTGTCCGTTGATCACTTCCCAGGTCGCCTTCGCCTCCTCCTGCTCACGGACGTCCTTCTGCCTCGGGGTTTAGGGTTTAGGGTTTGGGGTTTAGGGTTTAGGGTTTAGGGTTCAGGGTTGAGGGTTTAGGGTTTAGGGTTTAGGGTTTAGGGTTTAGGGTTTAGGGTGCAGGCCGTTTTTGTTGTTGAGGGTTCAGGGTTCAGGGTTTAGGTTTAGGGTTTAGGGTTTAGGGTTTGGGGTTTAGGGTTTAGGGTTTGGGGTTTAGGGTTTAGGGTTTAGGGTTTAGGGTTTAGGGTTAAGGGTTTAGGGTTTAGGGTTTAAGGTTTAAGGTTTAGGGCTTAGGTTAGGGTTTAGGGTTTGAGGCTAATTCGGGCTTCCGCGGCTCCGCGGAAGCTGCGGCGTCTCTGAACCTTGGAGGATACTTGGGGGTTCAGGGCTGACAGCTTCGGATTTGGGGCTCAAACCTAAGCAATAAACAAACCCTACACCCTAACCCCGTAACCCTTAACCCTAAACCCTAAACCCTAAACCCTAAACCCTAAACCCTGAACCCTAAAACCCTAAACCCTGAACCCTAAACCCTAAACCCTAAACCCTAAACCCTAAAACCCATTTAGGGCTTCACGAAGTGCAGGTGGTCGGTTCAGAGTTGCGGGTGCAGGCTGGGCCGGGGGGCTTACTTGGAGGTTCAGGGTACTTATAGCCCCAAAGAAAACTGTGCCTTTAAGCCCCCTAAGTCCCCTAAGTCCTCTAAGTAGGCTAGTAGACTCACTAGTAGCCCAGCAACCATCTTACAATAAGGGCACCTGTTTTTTTTGGTTGGCTACTTTGAAAGGGAACCAGAACAAAAAAAAAGGGAAAAGGGTACCTTTGAGCTACCAAGCTTATCATTGCGGTCATAGGTGCCCATGAACCTCCAAGTAGAGGTTTACAGGCTTAGGTTCATCAACAAGCTCAAGTGCGCGACGCATAGTGCAGGGCCCGGGGATCAGGGTTCAGGCTTTCAGGGACCCTAAACTCGCTCTAAACCTCAACCCTGGCCCTAAACCCTACACTCCCCACACTCTCAGCCCGAAACCCGAAACCCGAAACCCCAAACCCCAAACCCTAAACCCTAAACCCTAAACCCTAGGCCCTAAACCCTAAAACCTCCCTCAATGCCAAGACCTCAGCTCAAAGGCAGCTGAGCATCCCCGTCCGCAGCCATTTCTGAGGGGCAGGTTCATCAGACTTTGGGGGTTTAGGGTTTAGGGTTTAGGGTTTAGGGTTTAGGGTTTAGGGTTTAGGGTTTAGGGTTTAGGGTTTAGGGTTTAGGGTTTAGGGTTCAGGGCTTCGGATCTAGCAACCCCATGGTTGGTCTGACAACGTTAGCAATCTTCTTCGGAGGGGCCCCGAAATCCTCGAACCTAAACACACAGGAAAGCTTTCGAAGGCTGAAGGGTGTACTTGTTTGGGGTTTAGGGTTTGGGGCTAGCGGCTAGAGTTTAGGGTTTAGGGTTTGGGGCTTGGGGTTTGGGGGCTTGGGTCTCGATTCTGTGTCGAAAGGGCTCCAGCCCCCAAATCCTTCAACCCTAACAGCCTTAGCCACCGCGCCCAGACGCCGAACAGTCCCACGCATGTTCCCCCCTCAGGTGGCCATCACAAAGCGCATCGACCCTTTTGATAGCCCTCAATCATCAGCGGTGCCCTAAACCCTAAACCCTAAACCCTAAACCTTAAACCTTCAAATTCCCAAAGGTCAGAGGGGGGGAGGATGGGGGGGTAGCGAAGATGCTAGTCGCTTGCTCTGTCTGCTTGCTTCAGTGCCGGGCCCCAGTTGCTTGCTTGTCTGCTTGCTCATGCGGATGCTTACCCCTTCCTTTGGGTCCCTTGGTATGTAACCCTTATATACACTCAACACCATACTTATGGACCAAACTAAGTTCCAACCTTAGAATAGGGTTTAGGATTTAGGGTTTAGGGCATGCCTGTGCTGATGCTTGTGCTTGCTGGCTGGCTCGCTGGATGACAGCAGCCAAAAGAGAACGATGACAGCCGCGCAGATCATACCCCACCACAACACTCCCCTTAGATCCTTAATAAAATAGTGTTTTATATTCCTCTTGGGCTCTATATAAACGACAAAAACATAATTCCCAAAGACCAAACACTTACATCACAACTCCACCCGGCTCCTGGTGCTGTCGCCAGCGCCGTCCCAACGGGAAGGCGCGCATTGGCTCAAGCTCGCCCTCCACCTTTCTGGAGCCGATGCAGGGTTCAGGATTTAGGATTTAAGGTTCAACTATTTGCTTAAGAACCCCAAAAACATAAGAAGTGCTATTCCTTACGGAGCAATAAAGGGATTATTGTTTTATATTTTTGCTGGGGGTTCTTGAGCAAATAGTAGGGTTTAGGTTAGGGCGGTAAGGGCTGCTTCGATATTCCTTTTACGTCACATTGACGTGGGACAACGATGCACGCAAATTTTAGGGTCTAGGGTTTAGGATCTAGGGTTGAGGGGTTTAGGGTTTAGGGGGTGAGGGATCAGAACGCTTGCGTTAACAGCAGCCACTTTGCCAGCAGCACCAGCGAGCTAGAATCTAGAAGTAGCAGCATGTGGGGGCAGGCAGGTCGCAGAGACGTCCTTCGCGGAAACACCAATTGAAGCTGCAACTTGAACGAAGCAGCCAAGCCGGAGACAAGACCAGCACTGGGTGGAACTAGGGTTCCCGGAATTTCGGGGCACCTACTTTGGGGATCCGATGGTTTTTAAAGCCCTCACGGCAGGCCTAAACTGCTGTTTTCTCGCGTCGAACATCCTCACCCTAAACCCATGGTGAACTCCAAGAAGTTGGAACATCCTTATCCCCATACCCCAAAAGGTACACTCAAGGGAATCCCAGGTCTAATCATCCGTAAACCATGTTCCAACTTTCTGGAGTTTGCTGTAGAATGTTGCGATCATCTGCGGCATGGGACACGGGATACTCTGCGGGATTCTGTGCGGGCACGGGAATCTCCGAGGTTCTTTTTCGTGAAGAACAATCTAACAGCCCAACGAAAGAAGCCGAAACTAGAACCTGAAAACGCTAAGGAAATTAAGAACCCGAAGAACCGTAAGAACCCCGAGACACCGAAGAACCCTAAGAACCCTAAGAACCCTAAGAACCCTAAACACTACGAGCCCTAAGAAACCTAGGAACCCTACTAAGAGCCCTAAGAACCCTCAGAACCCTTAAGAACCCTAAGGCCCTAAGAACCCTAAGAACGCGAAGAACCCTAAGAACCCTAAACTACGAACCCAAGAACCCGAAACCCAAAAGCCTGTCCCAGGACCCCCTCTTTCTAAAAATAATTCAACATACCCCACATACAAGAAGAGTTTTTGGCATCCTGACCCCTAAGCCCTAAACCCAAAACCCTAAATCTTGAACCCTAAACCCTAAACCCTAAACCCTAACCCTAAACCCTAAACCCTAAACCCAAAACCCTGAAACCCGAAAGCCTGTCCCAGGACCCCTCTCTTGGCCCAAGCCGCCACAGAGGGCGACCCCAGATGCTTGGAGAGGATGTCAGGGCTTCGCCTCGGGCTTTCTTGGGGTTTAGGGTTTAGGGTTTAGGGTTTAGGGTTTAGGGTTTAGGGTTTAGGGTTTAGGGTTTAGGGTTTAGGGTTTAGGGTTTAGGGTTTAGGGTTTAGGTTTAGGGTTTAGGGTTTAGGGTTTAGGGTTCAGGGTTCAAGATTTAGGGTTTAGGGCTTGGAAAAGGGTTTAGGGCTCAGGGACAGTCTAGGGATTCGGTTTTCGGGCTTCGGGGTTTCAAGTTTTTGTTCAGGGGCTCGGGGGGGGAGGGGGGGGGGGGGGGGGGGTGTATAGCTGCAGGGATCATATTTGAGAATGAGTGAACGCAATGAGTTTTACCAAGAGACTTGTCCTGAAGCTTACCAGTTTTCGAGCGTGTACCGTGTACCGAGAGAGCTGAAAAAGCTAGTAAATGATACGAAATTTCCCTGAGAATTTAGAAAGATAAACGGATACTCTTGCAAACTAAAGAAAACAGGATTTAGCATGTATCTACTGAAATCTGGTGTTCGCCAAGAAACCCAACATCAAGATTCCTTTGGAGTGTTTTCAGTAGTCTTACGGCGTACCCTTAACGCCCATGAATAAGAATCATACGCCGCCGCCTTTATGCTTGTCTGTTCGGAAGCGAGCTCTCGCAAACACACCCGCGGACACCGGTCAACGGCATGTAATACAGGCCTGCGAACTCGTATTTCCCTAAACCCTAAACCCTAAACCCTAAACCCTAGGCCCAAGGGCCCCATACTTCGGAAGCCTGCAAAGAAGGTAAGGGACCATCTTAAGGGGCCCCATGCAACTTTCCCTTAGTCAAGGCTCCCAATTATGCGCCCCTCAACGTGGGTCCCTCTTGCTATACCTTTGCCCTTAATATACAAAGGGCAAAGGGCCCATGCTTCCAACCCTGAGTCCTAAACCCGAAACCCCAAACCCTAAACCCTAAACCCTAAACTGCCTTGGGGTTTGTAAGGGTGTAGGGGTCTGGGGGATGGTAGGGGGGGGTGGGGGTTAGGGTTCAGGGTTTCGGGAGCCTTTAGCTTCTTGGAGGCAATCCCGTCCTTCCGGGCTAGCGCGCTTGCTGGGGTGCGCGTGCGCCGCCCTCACAATACTTAGCACGAAACGACCGACTCCGAACCTCAAAGCCTCAAAAACACCGTTGCAAGGGCCCGATCAAAAAGAATGGGTATTTAGGGTTTGGGGTGTAGGGTTTTGGGTACTGCACAGGTCTTGTAGACGGAAAGCATTGTATTACGTAAACAGGCCCGAGCATCTGCAGCGCCACTACGCACAGTCCCAGAAGAGCCAGCACCCCAGCCCCGGCAAGAGCCTGTAGGCTCGAGCTTTAGGCTCTCAGGTTTGGGGTTTAGGGTTTAGGGTTTGGGAGTTTAGGGTTTAGGAGTTTGGGGTTTAGGGTTTAGGGCTGAGGGCACCCTTAAGAATCCTCAATTGAAGTCACTTCAGCGTCTGGCGTCTGGAACAGATAAGGGTTTGGCTGTTGGGGTTGAATGGTTTGGGTGTCATTAGGGTGTTTCGGGAGCAGAAAGTGCTGCATCTGGCCATTGAAGTAGAACAACGAGGCTCCGAAAAAAAAAAAAAAAAAAAACTAAACCCGTTTAAATTCCAAAACTGAGCCCGCTGTTGGATATCTACAGGGGCCGAAGGTCTGCGCGAAACTCTTCTCTAAATCAGCCCCCACTAAAGTTTCGGGTCTGGGGTTCAAAGTTGTCCGGGTTAAGGGCTGCGCGTCCAGTAGCTCAGCCTCACAGGTTCCGGAAACTCCCTAAACCCCCTTAGCCACCCCAAAAAACCTAGGCCCTGAACCCTTTTAATCCAAAACCCTACATTACCCAAACCCAACACCGAAACTCCTTAAACCACACTAAAGCCCTCAACGCCCCCTGCATATCCCTGAATTAGCCTCCCATAAAGCCCCTAATGAACCCTGAACCCTAAACCCTCAACCCCAAACCCTAAATCCCAAACCCGAAACCCTGAACCCTAAACCCTAAACCCTAAACCCGAAACCCTAAACCCTAAACCCTAAACCCTAAACCCTAAACCCTAAACCCTAAACCCTACCCTCACAGGTGCCTTGCGGCACATCGGCCGCCCGAGCTCTCGCTCCTCCGCCTCGGACTCTGAAACCGGCAGCCGCTGCCTCAGGTAGGGTTTAGGGTTTAGGGTTTAGGGTTTGGGGTTTAGGGTTTAGGGGTTTAGGGGTTTAGGGGTTTAGGGGTTTAGGGGTTTAGGGGCTTAGGGGCTTAGGGGTTTAGGGGTTTAGGGGCTTAGGGGTTCAGGGGTTTAGGGGTTTAGCGGTTTAGGGGTTTAGGGGTTTAGGGGTTTAGGGGTTTAGGGTTTAGGGGGTTTAGGGGTTTAGGGGTTTAGGGGTTTAGGGTTTAGGGGTTTTGGGGTTTAGGGGTTTTTAGGGGTTTAGGGGTTTAGGGGTTTAGGGGTTTAGGGGTTTAGGGGTTTAGGGGTTTTGGGGTTTAGGGGTTTAGGGGTTTAGGGGTTTAGGGGTTTAGGGGTTTAGGGGTTTAGGGGTTTAAAAGTTAGGTTCAGGGCTTTGGCTGCGGGGAGGTTGCAGGCTTAAGGCTTCGGGCTTAGGACTTGGGAGTTATCGGGTTTTCAGGGTTCGGAGTGCCAGGGGTCTAACCAGCTAACCCCAATTAACAATAAGCCCCCTCAATCCTCTAAGTAGGTCACAAGTCGACTAGGTAGACTTCTGATTGGGGCGATAAGTACCCGTGAACCTCCAAGTAACCCCAAGCCCGAAACCCTAAACCCCCCCCTCCCCCTAAACCCCAAACCCGTAATCCTAACCCCTAACCCCTAACCCCTAACCCCTAACCCCTAACCCCTAACCCCTAAACCCTAAACCCTAAACCCTAAACCCTAAACCTTACAAACATCCAGGCTGCATCTGGAAAAAGGAGGAAGAGGGTAAAGCCGCACGGCTGGGGCGGAAGGCGAGCTCAGAACGCGGAGCAAAATGCTGCGGAAGAGCGTGACGTTTTAGGGTTTAGGGCTTAGGGCTTAGGGCTTTACGGTTTGGGGCCTAAGGTTCAGGGTTTCGGGGTAGGGGTTAGGGTTTAGGGTTTGGGGAAGTAGGGTTTAGGGTTCAAAACGTTTAGTGGCCTCATCACTTCAAGCCTCGAAATTCTAATTGTTGCTTTGCGCTAGAGATCAGCGCACGGGATCTTTTTCGCCGGGTCGCTCAAGCGGGTATGGCCGCTCAACTGCTTCTGTTTGGCCTTTGTCTTGGCCCTGCCCCCCTTGCTTTGCAGGATCCCCTAAACCCTTAACCCTAAACCTTAAACCCCAAGACCTTTGAGCCTTCTTCCACTTCTTCTTTATCTTTCTCTTGCTCCCGGCCTCCTGGGTGTGAGCGTTGTTTGCAGATGTCGGGTCAAAAACAACAGCATCAAGATTGCCACTTCCGCATGTCCCTCCTCTCCTGCCTGGTCCTTGTGGCACAGGCTGGTATAGCAGGTGCGTGTGCCGCACACTTCCAGGGTCCAGTATGCCCAGAGCGCAGGCTCACGGAAGCGAAAAGCCTTGACCGCTTCAGCCGGTTGGTCACCCAGACCTGCTCGCTCCCAAACTCGCCAGGCGCCCAAAGCTGGATCGCACCTCTCGTACGATCCCGTGGGCACCTTGGTCGCCCAGTAACAATACGGGGTACCTTATTGGGGTCCTTATTACAGGGGAATCCTACCATTTGGGGATCTATATTGGCGGCTTTTTCTTTTTATCATAGTAAGGTCACCCTTCTTTGGGCTGGTTACTTTATAAGGGAACCCAGAGCAAAACAAAAAAACATAAGGGCACCACTGGGCTACGAAGGCACAGTTGGCAGAGAGGGGGCTTGAACCGGAACCATTACTACAAGCCTCTCCATGACACCAATCAGCGCCAAGCGCGCACCCTCTTTTTTTTGTCAGTTTCCCGGCAAGCCGACCAGTAGATCCTCGGCCAAATCATGCCGCACCGTCTCCCGCAGAGATTTGGCCTTGGGCTCTTTGGGTGGCTCTGGGCGCCGGGGCTGCCCTTCTGAAAAACCTGCCACTGCTCCATGAAGGCTAAGGTTGCGACTTCAACTTACCACACGCACCTTGCGAGAAGTTGCTGTCGCCAAGCGACACAGAAATGCTGGATGAGACGGTCGAGATCAGGACGAGTGTAGGAAGACATACGCCGTAGCGCATCTGTGGGCGAGGGTCTGCCGCTTCGAAGACAACAGGCTCGACTCAGCCGTGTGCCTTTCAGACAGTGCACCTGCTGTGGCCCCGATTCTCTTCAAGCGCAGCGCGTAGGCGTCCAATGGACCCTGATCGGGAACCCCCCTAAGCTAACCTCCAATCCACAAATCCACCCTAAACCCGAAACCCTAAACCCTAAACCCTAAACTTTAACCCTAAACCCTCCCCCCCCCCCCACCCCTCAAAGAAGAAACATCGCAGCGATTTGTGGGGCTTCCTGCCTTGAGCTGCAAAACAAGTTGCGCAGCAAACGACACTACATCGGACACCCAGTGAGGTCAGCAGCGACACAGCAGTTGCAAGGGCCATCGTCACGAGCCGGAAAAATTGCTCCTCCAGAAGGCAATCGTTCTGCTCAATTGAATGTGGCAGGTTGGCAGCGGACACTAATTCCACGTTCGCTGCTGACTGGGGCTTCCGAACACTATCGGTGGCCAAGGGAGCTAAGGGAATGAGTCTAGCAGGTTTAGAAGGGCTTGGGAGTTTTTGGTTGGGGGATTTCGGGGCTTTGGGAGTTTGTGGTGCAGGGGGTTTTGGGGGTTTGGGGCCCAGGGTTGTAAAGCCAGAAGCCCCTGAACCGCAAGCATCCAAGTTGCGCCTGGAAGAGGGCGGGAGCTGCGTGGTCGAGGCCGCGGGAGCGCAGAAGAACGCGGAGCCGAAAATGCTGCGGAAGAGTGCAACCTAGCCGGGCCTGGCTTTGGGCAGTTGTGGGGGCCTGTTGCCTGAATCACTCCAGCACCCACCAGTGGCTCAATGTGAATCATAAAAGGTGCTACCGGACTTCGGTCACCAGTTGTGCCTGGCAATGATGAGACTTTCTTGACTTTGACCTGAGGTGCCCAATCCAAGCCCCACCCCCCAAAAAAAGCCGTTCCAACTGTTGAATTGGAAAAACAAAGCCTAGAAGCGCTCTCTTTTAAAGTGCAAGCAATTCCTGGCCGTGTGCCCACGAACGAACCGCTGGTGTCGTCGCAATCACTTTGGGTGCGGCCAGGGGTATCTACACCTAAGTCTCCCACCGGCGGAGCACACCCCCGAAAAGGGGGAAGAGGCAGAAGCAAATAACAAAAGGGAGGGTGCCGTCCCCTGGTCACCCCCCGCTACCGGGGGGCTCCAGTTAAAACAGCCCCGTTTGCAAAAATGTTGGAGTGAACACCCCTCGAGCCACTAGTCCCTTCGACTGGACCAATTGAGCCACCAGTCCCCTCGACCGGCGACTCAGAAATGCCATCGCTAGGCACAGACAAAAATGCTAGGCCTCACTGAGGCTTTCCGAAGTGTCGCTGGCAGAATCGGTGGCGACCTCCCACTCCAGGCCATCTTTCGACTCGGCACCTCGGGTGAAGAAGACGTAGACAGAGCAGCCTGCCAGACAAAAGATGACGTTCACAAAGTAGACCATGGGCAGGTTCCCCTCGTTCAGGTCGTTCGGCGTCCAGCTCTTCGTTGCTTGGGTCAAGGCTGCTGAGATCGCGTTTGGAAGGCCACCCATGGCAAACTGGCAGAACGCTTGCCTGGGTTGGCCTTTGAACCCTTCGAAAAATAGTTTATACATAGGGTCCCTTATGAACCCAAACAAGGACAATACAAAATGTCCCACACAAGCGCCAACCTAGTTGCATCAAGGACTTCATGGAGGGCTCCGCGGTGTAGGCCACGTGCCAGAGCACCGGGTTTACCAAGACTTCGCCTGCGACACGAGAAACTGAAACTGTGAGAAGCTCAAGACACCTTCCCCCAATTTGAAAGAGCCCAAGACCCCTCAATTTAAGTAATGTACCTGAATCTATACAAGGACCCGTAATATGATTTAAGGCATATTCCTTAATTAAGGAGTATTGGGCTCTTCGGGATCCTTCATGAGTGCACATTAACACCGCTGTTAAAAACATCTTGGAAACGAGAATTATCATCATGTGGGCAGTTCTGCTGAAATATGGGTAAAATAAAACAATCCCCTTAAAGGGACCGAAAAAAGGAGTACCCTATTTTGGCAAATAGCCATATAGGTTCTGTACCCAAAAGATAAGGCTCGGTATTTCCCACTTCCATATCGGGTACTCCCTATTGAGAATCGAGCGCCAGGTTCAGAAAGGCCATGGAATCTAGACCCAAGAGTACACCTGCAGGTTTAGGCTCGGTATGATAACAGGAAACCCAGAAAGTTGGCCATCATGTTGCCGAAACCAGTTAAGACAACCTCCGCCCACCTATGCCCACCATGGCATAAGGCAGAACCATCCAAAATCCGCTCAAAGCGCTCATCCTCACCTGGGTTGTGTTTCAAACCCTTTGACAACTATCTATGAACAGGTTCCCTGCTACGGAGATAAAGGAATCAAAAAGATTGTCCCAAAGCACAACCCAGTCACATGCTGACCGTCGGCATCCAAGGGAGCACAATTCGAAGGGATGGGCAACACCTCCGCCGTGCGGCGCGCGTACTCCAGGCCGGCAGCTGTAAGCTGCGAGGCGATGGCAATGGCGATGCCTGGCGCCCGAATGAGATATTCCAGAAAGGTCTGAGTGTTCAGGAATGTTCAGGGTTTAGGGTAACCTTTCGGCACAGAGACTGGGCTTTTCTGTCCCATCAAGAAGAACGGCAAGGTCTCGGAGATGAGAGAATTTAGCTTGCGGGACTTTAAGACTTTCAGACCCAAGCCCCCCGCCTGTCAAGACCTTCATGTTGCTGCTCACCTTCCTCTTGAGAAGCTTCTCCGCAGCAGGGACAACCAGTCGCTCCAGCAAGGGCGTGAAGATGATCACCTGGGAGTTGCGCTGTAACAACCCTTTGAAGATTGTTTATGAAGAGGGTTCCCTTATACTGAAACCCTAAACCCTTTGAAAACTATTTATGAATAGGTTCCCTTAGACTGAAAGAAGGGAACCTAACAAGTATCCCCAAGCACCAACCCAGTCACCGCGAAGGCGTCGCCCAGGTTGAAGAAGGCCCCGCTGAGCTGCATGTCACCTCCTTAAACTGGCTGGTTCTTAGTAGGGAATGAGGGAATTTGAGCCCTATATCTACCCATGTAGCACCCTCATTCCCTCATTCCCTACTAAGATCCCTTAACTGGATCCCTATATAAAAAAGGGAATATTCCTGAATTAAGTAAGGAATATGCCTTAGATCATATTAAGGATCCCGTTGCAAATTCAGGTTGGGGTGTTGGGCTCTTTTGGGCAAGTCACCTCCCAGGCGCGTATCCATCTGACAGGCCTGGGTTGAGATGCTCCCGCCTTATACTAACAGCTCCTTAATCGGGAATTATAATGGGGGGTGGTACTATAATTCCTTTTATAATCCTTTATTGGGGGGGTGCTATAATCCCTGTTCTAATCATGAATAGGGGGTGCTCTAATCCCTATTATCATCCTGAATAGGGGGTACTATAATCCCTATTCCAATTCTTAAATGGGGGGGAGGTGGTACTAGAATCCCTATCGAGGACTCTTGGTATACAGGAGGAAACCGCTAACAGGGCCTGGGAGTAGAAGAGGCTGAACATGGTGTTGTAGAGCACGTTGAAGGTGACGTTTCCCACGATGATCTTCGGCACCTTCGGAAGTAAGGGCTTGGGGTTTGGGGGTTAGGGGTTTAGGGGCTTAGGGTTTAGGGTTTAGGGTTTAGGGTTTAGGGTCCAGGGTTTAGGAACTAAGGTTCAGGGTTCAACCCTCTGAAAGGTGTTATCCTGAAACAGGACCTCTTAACATCTTAACACGCAAGAAGTTGGGATTCTCTCCCGTATACGAAGAGTCCTTAACAGGGATTGAAATAAGGGGGGGGGGGGGGGCCTAAAGTTGGGCGTCACAAACCCATAATACTACTACCAATCCCTGTTAAGGTAAACAGACCATAAACCCTTTTCGGGTTCATGTAGGAGACCACATGAACCCTAAACCCTGTACTACTACAATCCCTACTAAGAACAAAAATGGAAAAATGAACCCTAGGACCCTAACCCGAAACCCTAAACCCTAAACCCTCAACCATTTTAGGGTTCATTGAGGCCCCACCAGGAATGATCCCGGGCACCGCATCCAAGCATCGCGTCACACTGTCAGGCTCCCCTAGCCTGGGGTAGGTTTGGGGTTTGGATGGTTTTTTGGGGGTTTCGGGTTTAGGGTTTAGGGTTTAGGGTTTAGGGTTTATGGCTTTGCAAGGAGTATATAGGGGATGTAAGGGTATTATCATATCTATTTTTAAAAAATGCTATGTTCAAACCTGCCCCCGTAGCCAGGAGTTGTTCCGGTGCGCCACGCAGAGGCAGCCGATGCAGAGCAAGTCGGCCAACAGGCTCACGATCGTCAGGGAGCGCGAGGCATAAAAGACCTGCAGCACGGACCTGGGCGAGCTTTCGGGCCCCGTATACTAACAGCTCCTTAATAGGGCGAAACAATTAGGGGGGGGGGGGGGGGGGGGTACTACAATCCCTATGTATCCCTATTTGTATCCTTAATCTTGGCTAGAGTTGAAGCCAACTTTGGGAATTCCATCTGTGAACCCGAAGAGGACAAACCTTTCAACGGGGGTGTCGTCTTGTAGCTGTAGCATGTTCCAGCTCCTAGTTGATGAGGGGCGTCTTTCAAACTCACCAATACATCGTTCACAGGGTTTAGGGTTTAGGGTTTAGGGTTTAGGGTTTAGGGTTTAGGGTTTAGGGTTTAGGGTTTAGGGTTTAGGGTTTAGGGTCCAGGGAGGTAGCTTTTGAACGAGGTGAGGCAAACAAAAGCTAGCACATCATGACCCAGGGGACAGGACGATGAGCGTGGGCAGCAGCACCCAGCCCAACAACGCCACCTTGCCCAAGGGGTTGCGCCGGCCGCCCAGCAGGCGCCGCACTGCCGGCATCAGCACTGGCTCTGTGTTTTTCTCAAAGCTTTCCTTGCGGTAAAAGGGCGTGCCCACGATGAACACAAGCAGAGCGACGGCCATAAGAGCGGCCATGATCATGTAGGCGACGAAGAAGCCTATACTGCCCTTAGAACCTTATCGAAAATACCATGTTTAATATCCTCTTGGGTTTTACATAAACAAAACTAAAAAAAAAACAACTCCCAAGGGGTATATAGAAGCCATCTTCCTTGGGGATGCGCGGCGGCAAGCCCGCCGTGGCCACGTTTGACAGGCACCCGAAGGCCACGACGGCGCCCACGCTCCTTAGGGGGCTGCACTTCGCAGGGTAGCTGTAAAATCTCATTCTTCGCTGCCCCTTTTACTAAGAAGCCCGAAGAAGCCCAAAAAGGGCTAAAGGATCTAAAGTCACCCTTTTATTAAGAAGCCCCAAGAAGCCCAAAAAGGGCTAAGGATCTAAAGTTACCAGTAAAGCACCACAAAGCTAAAATTGGGGTCACATTCCCTATACTACTATAACTCCTGCTAAGGCTCATGGTGACGTACAGGTACATGAAGAAGGCCTCCTTCCGCCTCACCGACTCGGGAATTCGGGGATCAAACTGGTCCTTGGTAACCCAGCAAAACCGTATTCAGGGCGCCCCCGTTCTCCTTGAGTTGGTTACGTCACTAAACCCTAAACCCTAAACCCTAAACCCTAAACCCTAAGCCCTAAACCCTAAGAAAGACCTTGAACCCCCCCCCCCCCCCCAAAAAAAAAAACAAAAAAAACGGAAAAAGGGAAAAGGGGGGGGGCACTCCCCAAGGCTCTGCGCCAAAGGTGCCGATGTTGGGCTTTACCCCACCAGTGCCCGGCGCCGTGAGCACCAGGATGCCGACCATGAAGAGCCTGGGGGGGAGCGAAATGAACACTGTATAAACAGGGGTTTAGGGTTTAGGGTTTAGGGTTTAGGATTCAGGGTTTAGAGTTTAGGGTTTAGGGTTTAGGGTTCACGGCTCATTAGGGGATTGCAGAGTAGTAATTCCAGGATCTACTGACGCCCATTTTTAAGGCTCATGTGCCAAGGAGCGGGATGCTCTCCATGGCGGGCGTGGCCGCGAAGGCCGTGAGCCTCGGGGGGGCTGCTCTGAAGGATCGTGACTTTCAAGTGGCAGACGACGTCACTCTGCATGCCCCATGCTCAAGCCTAAACCCCAAACCCTAAACCCTAAACCCCAAACCCTAAACCCCAACACCCCGGACCCTAAACCCTAAACCCCAAGCCCCAAACCCTCAAACCCAGGAGCGCGCAGCCGGCCGCGTAGATGGCAGAGAAGACCAGGATGGTCGTGTAGCGGCCGATGAAGGTCTCGGCAAGAATGCCGCCCAGGAAGCAGAAGGCGAAGGAGAGGAGTGTGAAGATCCTTAGAGAGAGGCTTCGGGGCTTAGGGTTTGGGGTTTAGGGTTTGGGATTTGGGGTTAAAGCTTGAAGGTTTAGGGTTTGGGGTTTAGGGCTAAGGGTTTAGGGTTTGGCATTTGGGGTTGAAGGTTTAGGGTTTGGGGTTTAGGGCTAAGGGTTGGGATGCTCCCCCTTATGCTACTGGTAACAGTCCGTAGGGGTTGTAGCACCCCCGATGCGAGCCCCTTAACAAGGACTGTTGGTATGAGGGGGAACATCTCAAGTTAAGGGTTTTGTAAACCCTAAACCCTAAACCCTAAACCCTAAACCCTAAACCCTAAACCCTAAACCCTAAGTTTGGGTTCAGGGTGCGCAAGAGTCGAGTTTCACATCCAAACTTCAACCAAAGCCGGGCAATCCATCCAAGAAGATCAAAACGAAGGAGTCGTGTCGAGACGCCCTGGTTCTTAGTAGGGATATGGGGGAATTTAGGTCCCCTACAGAATCCCCTAAAGGGTTTCTATGGTCAACTCTCTAAAGTGACTCTAAAGTACTGTCCCTTTCTGGACACCCCAAATAAGACGGGCCACCTTTGCAATAAGGACCCATAAGGATCCAGAAGGGACGATATTTCCGAGAAGTGACCACCACATAGGGAAATAGAGGGTGCCTCAGATTCCCTCATTCCATCATTCCCGAGTAAGAAACAGCACCCTTCCTGAGCCACGTTACATGCCCTCCAAGCCTTATGTTTTTGGGGGGAGGGGCTTAGGGTTTAGGGTTTAGGATTTAGGGTTTAGGGTTTAGGGCTTAGGGTTTAGGGCTTCGGGTTTAGGGACCTGCCCCCATTTGAACCCGCAGCGAAGCCAGGCTCATTCCAAGAGTCTGGTGCACTGAGCTGCTATCGGCGTTCGTGAAGCCTTGGTCCTGAAGCCACGACTTCATCGTGCTCACCAGCGTGTTCAAGCCCACGCTCCAGCATAGCTCAATAACCACGATGCACGCCACATGTATAGCCATGGCACCCGCAGTCAAAATCTGACTGCCGCGTCTCGGTGCCCACTATCCGGGTGTGCTGCTGGGCAAATGGAAGCTATCCCTTCCGTGCTCAAAAGATGGTCAGCACACATGCCAGAAAACCTTGACATCTGCAGCTTCCAGGTTTAGGGTTTAGGGTTTAGGGTTTAGGGTTTAGGGTTTAGGGTTTAGGGTTTAGGGTTTAGGGTTTAGGGTTTAGGGTTTAGGGTTTAGGGTTTAGGGTACCTAGGAGGCAGTTGGAGCGACGTACAAGCACATGGAAGTACATGGCAGGTGTGCTTTGTGCGCTGTTCGATCCTCTTGGAGAGCTGCTTGTGTCACGCAGGCGTCAAGTTCCCTGCTGAGGCGATATACTATACCTAAATTAGATTATATTTTATCACATCATATTATATTGTATGGTATAGTAGTGTAGTCGTAGATTATTCGCAACGCAATAAAAACCTACCCCCCTAAAGCCCCAAACCCTCAAGTTCCCCCAAAAAACGGACAAAGCAATGAACCCCGAACCCCCCCTAAACCCTAAACCCTAAACCCTAAACCCACCCTAAACCCTGAACCCTAAACCCTAAACCCTAGCCTAGACCCTAATCCTATAGGAGCCCCCTGGCTTTTGCTGGGACGTCGCGCAAGGCTCGCCACTCCTGGGCGATGGGGGATTGCGAGGCTTGTGCCTCCGGGACCCCCAAACCCGAAATCGCACACCCGAGGCTGATGGCCAGCACTTCCCGCATGACTAGTTCATTGTTGGGATCATATGAAAAAACTTACATCTTTATTTTCTTGTTGGGTTTAAGTACCCTTAAAAATGTAAGATGTTACCCAACTATGACAAAGATGAAGGGATGCCCCCAAGGCAGCCGAAACCCTTAAGCTTCGGGTTTAGGGCTTGGGGTTTAAGGCTCAGGGCTTAGGGTTTTTGGGTTTAGGGCAGCTTGCTCAAGGGAGGCAAGTGGTCATGAGGATTCCATACTTAGGGTTTCAGGGTTTGGGGTTTAGGGTTTAGGGTTTAGGGTTTAGGGTTTAGGGTTTAGGGTTTAGGGTTTAGGGACTGATAAGGACACGTTTTGGTGGGTTCCGGGGCTCACTTGGGGGTTCATGGGTGCTTTTAACCCCAATTCTAGCTGTGCTTGTAAGCTCCCTGCGTCCTCTAAGATGGCTTCTATCGAGACTGACAATTGGGGTTATAAGTAGCGGTGAGGATTCCATGATTAGTGTTTAGGGTTTAGGGTTGTATGGGCTTTAGCTTCTGGACGGCTCTGCTACTTTGGTTGGGGCTAGCCAAACTACAATCTGGGTTCATGACCTGCTTGCCTTGCCAAAGCTCCCCGAGCACTTGCGAAGTCAACCGCCAATGGCCCTAAACCCTAACCCCTAAACCCTAAACCCTAAACCCTAAACCCTAAACCCTAAACCCTAAACCCGGGGTGTCGGGCTCAGGTCCGAGAATGCTGGGAGGTGTGCCACCAAACGGCAGATGCGCCCTAATCCTAGGTCTCTAAGTCTGCTGCACTTGTTGCAGCCGTGATGTAAGCAGCAAAAGGCTAGCGAATTGTCTCTCTGAGCCGGCTGTACAGGCTCCAGTGTAGCAAAAGTCAGCACTGGCCCAGGATGGCGCAGGCGCCCTCACGCCCCTGAATCGAGGGTTTAGGGTTTCGGGTTTCGGGTTTAGGGTTTAGGGTTTAGGGTTTAGGGCTTAGGGTTTAGGGTTTAGGGTTTAGGGTTCTTGGGGTTTCGGGTCTATGGCGCGGCAACAACTTGGATTCTTGGGTTTCTGTGGTTCCTGGGCCAGATAAGTGCCCGGTTGCCGTGCCACAGCTGACGATTCTGTCAGGTATGATGCTATCAAGCAATCTGCACACGACCAGGCAGTGAAGCTGTTGAACGATCTCCTGCTCGGTCAACTTTCGCTTCCCTCTGGAGAAGCGCCGCCCCAGGACGAGCCAGCTAAAGCTTCTGCATAACAGTTCCGCGTTTCGGATATGTACATTTCCCAAAGCAGGGGTACCCCTAAATAGAATAGAAATTTATCAAGGGAGCCCCAAAAACGGTACCCCTATTTTCGGAAATTTACTCGGTAGGTTCACAGCCGGCTTGTCTCGGAGGGAAAGGCGCCCCACCCAGGCTATGAATTCAACGAATTAGTCCAGATTGGCTCTTCCATGCTCCTAGGTGGGTTTAGAGTCTAGAGTGTTGCGTATACTCCTAAAGAAACCCTAAAACCCTAAAGCCTAAACCCCAAACCCTAAACCCTAAACCCGAGAGTCCCTGAAATGTCCAAGGTCGAGCCCCTTGCTTGCAGCGGCGGAAAATCTGAAGCTCAACGCCCAGTCAGCCGGCGACGAAGCAGAAGCCGATGTGCTGCTGCCTCACTGAAAGGGTTTAGGGTTTAGGGTTTAGGGTTTAGGGTTTAGGGTTTAGGGTTTAGGGTTTAGGGTTTAGGGTTTAGGGTTTAGGGTTTAGGGTTTAGGGTTTAGGGTGAAACCCGGCTAGGATGGCCCTTAACGCCCTCTGAACAATTTTCAGCTGAATATGATCTTCTTCTTCTTCTTTCATATAAACCTAATAAGGGAAAATAGAAAATATCCCAAGGGCCTCACTGACATACAGGGTATAGGGGTTTCGGGGTTTAGGGTTGAGGGGCTTAGGGGTTTAGGATTTAGGGGTTTAGGGGTTTAGGGGTTTAGGGGTTTAGGGGTTTAGGGGTTTAGGGGTTTAGGGGTTTAGGGGTTTAGGGGTTTAGGGGTTTATGGGTTTCGGGGTTTAGGGGGTTTGAGGGAAAGGGGGTTTGGGGGTTTAGGGTTTAGGGATTAGGGCTTGGGTTTCAAGAATCAGGGTTCAGGGTTTAGGGTGTAGCCTCTCGGGTCTAGGGTTGTAGCAACCATCCAACACCCTTAGTTTCCAGAACAAGGAAGGGCCTCCAATGTTGGAAATATATTTTTAAAATAAGTAGAGGTCAATCCCGCGAAAACTCGAGTGGGCGGCTGAAGCTTAGAGCTTAGGGCGCCCAGGCCAGCCTGTCCTATACTGGTATATTGTTAGAGTGCTGTAGTACATTATTATTTACTATATTACTTTATTATTATTTTGCAGAAACTGTTATGGTACTGTAGTTTTTCTTTTCACTTTCACTACTTTCTTGGATTGAATACATGTTGATAGAGCTTGGGGGGACCTTCAGGGCTTCGGGTTCAGAGTTAGGGTCTTTGAGGAGGACGCGGCCATGCCGGGACCACCACGGTCTGCCTAGGGTTTAGGGTTTAGGGTTTAGGGTTTAGGGTTTAGGGTTTAGGGTTTAGGGTTTTGGGTTTTGGGTTTTGGGTTTAGGGTTTAGGGTTTAGGGTTTAGGGTTTACGGCACACACACACACACACCCTAAACCCCACCTCCCGGGCTCTCACACCCAAGAAAGATAGCTGCAACCCTCCTCCAAATACTCTTAACCCTAAACCCTAGACCCTAACCCTAAACCCTTAACCCTAAACCCCTAAGCCCCAACCCTAAACCTTAAACGCGAATTAAACCCCAAACCGAAACTCATCGTATCCAAAAGACAAAAAAAACGCCGGAGCCCCTGAAGTTGGTGAGCTCTTCTCTGAACCTTTCTGCCTTTTGAAGCGTTTGAACCTTGTTTAACCTGGCTCCCAAAATTGGGTACCTGTTAGAGCATGGGCCTTTATACCCACATTCAGAAGACCCCGGGAATTCAGAAGACCACGGGGGCCCAGAATGGAAAGCCCCAATCCGTCTTTCGCGCGTTTCACGCAGCATGAAGCTCCCGCAAACACGTGGCTTCGCCACGGTTGAAAGCAAACCATGGGCCGTCCACGCCGCATCCGCCCGCTAAATTCGCAGGGCAGGGTATCGACACTCGGCGCGAGATGGTCCAAGATACTCAAACCAGCGACCCTAAACCCTAAACCCAAGGGCTATCGAGGCTTGGTTTGACAAGGAGTGGTTGTTCTGGTCATGGTTTTCTGGTACTACAGGGGCAGACGAATTACTAATAGTATTCCCATATGGTCCCCATATACTCCTCAGGGCTGAATGAATTGCGAGCGGCCTCTCATACTAGGTGAAGTGTCAAGCGTTCCCCGCATATGCCTCTTATATTCCCTATACAAACCCAGAGGGGCCTGTACTTCAGAACCCCTTTCGAGAAGGTAAGCTAAGCCCTAAACCCTAAACCCTAAACCCTAAACCCTATACCCTAAACCCTAAACCCCAAACCCTCCTTAGAACCTGCAAGGCGCGGGGCCTCAGTATGTAGAGGGCCGGTCGCACGCCAACCGGTACAAGTCCGCTGGCGACAGGTCGATCTTGAGGCTCTTCGCATGCTTCTTGTGGAACTGGATCGACACGCGCTCCTCTTGCTGGCTCTTAGTAGGGAAAGGGGAATAGGTACCCCAAACCCTAAACCCTAAACCCTAAACCCTTTAAGGGATTATGTAGGGCACCTCATTCCCCCCATTCCCTACTAAGAACCCAGGGGGTCCTGACTGATACCATCCAGCTTGATGAGGAGATCGCCTCGCAGCCAGGCCAAGAGGGGTGTAGGGTTTAGGGTTTAGCGTTTAGGGTTTAGGGTTTAGGGAGGACGCCAAGCAAGACACAAACATGAGGCAGGTGGGGGGAGAGGGCTTAGGGTTCAGGGCTTTTGGAGAGAGACCTCGTTCAAAAGGGGTTTAGGCTTTTCGGCTTTAGGGTTTTGGGCTTTAGGCTTTTAGGCTTTTAGGGGTTTAGGTTTTAGGCTTTTAGGCTTTGGGATTTTAGGCTTTTAGGTTTAGGTTTAGATTATTTCAGGCAACGGCCTCTTTGACTGTCAGATACATATCTTGGGGCATGGGAGGCAAAAGGGCGTGTAGAGGCTGTCGGGTATGACCCCTAAAACCCTAAACCCTAGATCCTATTTCGGTTTTGGGCCAACTGAGAACTCGCACAGAGGCAACAAACCGAATAGTGCATGTATAAATCTAGATATACATGTTTTATGCCAATAAGTGTAGGCAGAAGCTGTCCATGTGCATAGAGAGAGAGAGACATTGTTGCATGCTTGCTTTCTTCTGCTTGGCCTTCTCCATCCTCATTTGTCTGCGGTGCGTATGTCTTTTTGGTACAAGCCGTAACCTCGCTTCTAAACATTACAGGCCCCCTGTAGCAAAACCAAAGCTACAAGCAAGAGCACGCGACACAGCGCACTAGGCCTTAAAAAACACAGACTTGGGGTTTCCGAAAATAGGGGGTTCCCTTTTCGGGGCTCCCTTTAAGGGGATTCTATACTGTTTGGGGTATAAAAGGGGTACCACTATTTCGGGAATACCCATGTGATACAACTGCGCCATCGCAAAATATTGAACACCTCAAGGGCACGGTACTTGAAGGTTCGCGGGTAGTTAGAAGCAGCGTTCTAAGTCATCAGTGCACCACGAGGTCACCTTGATTATGGCCACGCCGTTCCCTAAACCCTAAGCCCTAAACCCTAAACCCTAAACCCTAAACCCTAAACCCTAAACCCTTCTTACCCAAAAACCATGAACCTTCGGGTGCCTACCCTCAACCCCCCCCCCCCCCCCCAACCTCAACCCGGAACCCCCCTCTCAAGCTCAAACCATTGGTAGCCCAGTAAGCTTATGGTAAGGGCACCCTAAACCCTAAACCCTAAACCCTAAACCCTAAACCCTAAACCCTAAACCCTAAGGAATCCCAAATCCAAGAAACAAAAGAGTAAAAGGGCACCACCGGGCTACCAAGAACACAATGTCATCCAGGGCACTCTCCGGCGCCAGTCCCGACAGGTCGATCAAGCATTGCTCCAAAGTCCGCGTCCGTGAGTTGTGCGCAAACCTAGTTCAGGGTTGGGATAATATTCAACATTTAACTTTTAATCTTAAAAATTTAAACTCTTATTCCTTACAGGGTTTACGTACCCTGAAAAATGAAAAATGGTACCCAACTCTGATAAAGAAACCATGCATCCACATCTTCGTCGACCTCCAGGTTGAGAGGCTGAGGGCGAAAAGGGTTTAGGGTTTAGGGTTTAGGGTTTAGGGTTTAGGGTTTAGGGTTTAGGGTTTAGGGTTTAGGGTTTAGGGTTTAGGGTTTAGGGTTTAGGGTTTAGGGTTTAGGGTTTAGGGTTTGGGAACTTCAAGCCCAAGCCCGAAAGAAACCCCGAACTTTGACCCCAAAACCGTATGCCCTCGAAGCCCTGAGTCGGAAAACAACAGCGCGCAAGTGCAGGTCAGAGTAGTCGGAATAGCAGTGGCCAGGGGGAGGAGGAGGATTGAGATCAGCAGCTCCTAAATTTGGTTTAGGGCTTATTAAGGCTTCAGGTGTACGGCTCGCGCCCGCCTCCGAATCAGCGAGGTGCAACTCCTCGAACTCGTTCATGCAGTTGTGTGCCCGAATGCAGCATCTAACAAAGAAGCAGCAGGTTAAGGCGATACAGGGAGCGAAGAGGAGCATGCCGATGCACAGGCAGATGAGACCCCCCAGTGTCTTCACCGTAACGAGGTAGCGGATGAGGGCAGCAAAGGCGTAGTAAAAGCCAACCATGAAGAAGAGGTACGGCATCCGCGTGAAGTCCCCCACGCGCTTCATGAACTGCTGGCAGCCCATCTCAGTCTGAAGCTCACCCACACACAGCAAGATAAGCACAGTCGATATGGTTGAACAAAGAAAGCCGGCAAAGCCAATCAGGTAGAATATCATGGCGACGTCGTTCAGGATGGGCGCGGCCTTCGCGACGGCGTCTTCACCGGCAAGCTGGCCAAGGTAGCTGTCCACGAAGAGATGGCCGCTGCCTGGGTAATCTTCTTCCAGCCAGTCTGCCACATTCTCATATGTCATGGGGACCACCATGGTAAGCATCAGGGCACTAATGAGGCCGACGTTGGTGCACTCGCCCACAAGGCCGTCCCTGGCCTGCAATTGAGCACCCGGGCGGATGACCGAATCTGCCAATGTCAGGAAGCGTCCCATCGTGGATGACTTGACCTGAGTGTGCACTTTTCCCTCGGCTGCCGCCATGGTGCTCCAGGTGTACTTTACAGAGCAGCCATGAGTACAGAGTCTAGGGTTTCGCTGGGGCTGTTTCGAAAGCGAACCCTTGATCAAATAGACTAACCCTAAACCCTAGCCCTAAACCCTAAACCCGAAACCCTAAACCCTAAACCCGTTCTGAATGCCAAGAGCGCAGCTGTTTCAAGAAAGCTATCGTTGACCTTCTTGTGCCCAGTCAACTCAACATCCCGCTCCTTGTTGGGCTAGGAGTTCAGGATCTGAGCCTAGACTAAAACTCTACATATAGTGTATATATGTGTATATGTATATATATATATATGTATACATATATCTTGGCCGATTGAGCACTCGACCTGCTTCACCGGCCCTTGGATTGAAGATTGAAGATTGAAAGATGCCCGCAAACATCTTCAATCTTAAATCTTCAATCAAAGGACCCATTAAGCAGGGGATTGAATTCGCCAAATCCTAAACGAATAGGGGGGGGGGGGGGGGGGCCGCGCTCTTTAGCTAAGGGATATAAGGAGGCGTCTTTTAACCCCTTTCTGTACCTTGTACAGTCCCTATATGCCTAAGTAGCCCCTACATTACCCCTAAGGTCCCTTATCAGGGTCCCTCCTTTAGTCCCTTGATTTAGGATTTAGCGAAAAGGGAATTTCCCCTAAATCCTCAAGGCTACAGGGAACAATATTTGGGGAATAAGCTTGCGGAGATCCAGCGAATAGGATTTGACTTTTAGGATTTAGGCTCTCCTACTTAGGAGTCGAGGACGCCCTTCTGTAATAGGGTTTAAAAACTGACAGAAAGGAAGGGACAAAGTCCTTGGGGCCCCACTCTTTAGGACTTGGCGATAAGGACTTGGGGAAGAGGGCTAGTGATTTGAGATACCAGAGGGCTTTCCTCTTCAGGGTTTTAAGGATGCCCCTCTTTAGAGCTTAGGGAATACTAGTTCATTGTTGAGATAATATTAACAAATTTACATGTTTATTCCTTATTGGGTTTAAGTACCCTGAAAAAAGGTAAAATGCTACCCAACTATGACAAAGACTAGGACTTCGGGAAGAATATCAAGGGAATAAGATCTAGCGAACAAGATCTAGGGACCCCGCTCTTTAAGACTTAGCGAAAAGGACTTTTGGAACAGGACTTTTTGGGATGTAAGGGCTCTCCTCTTTAGGATTTAAGGATGCCCCTGTTTCAGGCATAGGATTTGGGGAGTGAAATTAAGGAAATAGAATCTAGGGAATAAGATGTACTTGAAGGTGCTGGTTTTCTGGACATATTTAGGGATCCCGCTCTTTAGGCGACAGAGCCATACATCCTGAAGAGGAGAGCTCCTAAATCCCAAAAAGAGAGCCCCAAAAAATCTTAAGCAACAAGCCCTATTCCCTATATCCTGTTCGCGAAGACCTTAAAGCCCAAAAGGGTGGGATCCCCAAAACCTTGTATTCCCTTGAAAATATTCGCAACTTCCGAAGCCCTACAGAGGGGCGTCCATAAATCCTGAACAGGGAAGCCCTGATATCTTAAAAATTCCTATTCCCCAAGTCCTTTTCACTAAATCCCTAAATCGTGTTCCTAAATCTTCTTTCCTTGGTTTCCTTCAAATCCTAAGACCGCTAAATCCTCAAGAGCGGGATCCCCAAATCTTGTTCACGTAATTTATAAGTACTCTTATTCTCAATTACTGCCTCCATCACATTCCCTAAACCTTAAAGAGGGGGGTGGCCTTGAATCCTAAGGAGGAGAGCCTATAAGCCCTAAAAAACAAACCTTATTCCCAGAATCCTTCTTTTCTAAGGATCCCAAAAGCTTGTTCGTTAAGCCTTAGACGGTTAATCCTCTATTCCCCATATTGAAGTAGGGTTTATATTTCTTGTACCCCCAGAAAGGACACCCGGTATATACACTCACCAAGATTAAAAAGGAACCTTATATACACTCACCAAAAACAGTAACATAAACCCTGCTTCATATCCTTTTGCATAAGCCATCAGGTGGGTGGTCCTTAGATCCTAAAGAGGAGAACCAGTCCTTGAACGTGAGCCACGAACCTAAATCCTTTTCGCTGCATCCGAAAGAGCGGGATCCCCAAGAAGCATTCCCTTAATCCCGAAATCAAGTTCCCTGGATCTTCTTGAAAAATGTTGCTCGCTACGTCTTTTTCCTTAAGCTTTATTCCCCAGATCCTATTCCTAAACCCTGCTCGTTTAGGATTTGGCGAACAAGACGTACGGCCCGATTCGGGCAAAAGTGGGCCAAAGCGGGCCACTCTGCAAATGTATTCGTGGCAGAAAGGACCACCCTTACTTTCCGATTCGGGGCTCTGAGTCTGTTTCCTTACATCTTGCTCCCCAAATCCTCGTCCTACATCCTACGCACGAACCCTAGACCCTAAACCCTAAACCCTAAACCCTAAACCCCCCGTGAGGTTACTCAAACTCCTCTTTAGGATTTACGGATCCCTCATGCAGATCTCCAGCTTCACATCGCCAAACTACTGAAGCATGTAGATCTTGGGGGGGGGTAGTTAGTATGTATGTATGTGTGTATGTATATATATATATATGCTCGCCCCCCCCCCCCCCATGATCCACACATTTGGCCTCGGGAAGGCTGGTTTTGGGAGGGGAGGGACTCCAGACTCCAGATTTTCAGAAAAAAATCTGGAGTACCCCCAGACTCCAGACTCCAGATTTCCAGAAGAAATCTGGAGTACCTCCAGACTCCAGACTCCAGATTTCCAGAAGAAATCTGGAGTACCTCCAGACTCCAGACTCCAGATTTCCAGAAAAAATCTGGAGTACCTCCAGACTCCAAACTCCAGATTTCCAGAAAAAATCTGGAGTACCGGGACCCTGGACTCCAGATTCTGGAGTCTGTAATCTGGAGTCTGGGGCCCCAAATACTCCAAATTTTTTCTGGAAATCTGGAGTCTGGAGTCCGGGGCCCCCGTACTCCAGATTTTTTCTGGAAATCTGGAGTCTGGAATCCAGGGCCCCGGTACTCCAGATTTTTTCTGGAAATCTGGAGTCTGGAGTCTGGGGTCCCCGTACTCCAGATTTTTTCTGGAAGTCTGGAGTCCGGGGCCCCGGTACTCCAGATTTTTCTGGAAATCTGGAGTCTGGAGTCCGGGGCCCCGGTACTCCAGATTTTTTCTGGAAATCTGGAGTCTGGAGTCCAGATTTTTTCTGGAAATCTGGAGTCTGGAGTCTGGGGGTACTCCAGATTTTTTCCGGAAATCTGGAGTCTGGAGTCCGGGGCCCGGGTGCATATGGAGTCCGGGGCCCAAATTCTCCATATGCACGTTTAGGGATTACGGTTTAGTGTTTATTGCTGAGGGTTTGTAGGGTTTAGTGTTTAGGGTGCAGTGTTTAGGGTTTAGTGTCTAGTGTTTAGGTTTCGGTTTTAAAGGTTTAGGGTTTACTTTTTAGGTTAAGCGACTTGGATAATGTCTAAAACCCTAAACTTTATGATGATGAAGTTTTAAATCCCCTAAAGGGCTGAAACCCCATGTTTTTTGGGTTTGGGGTTGGTTTAGGGTTCAGGATTTGCTGTTTCGGGTTTAGGGTTTAGTGTTCAGTGTTTAGGGTTTAGTGTGTAGGTTTCAGGGTTTAGTGTTTTGTGTTTAGGGTTGAGTGTTATTTTTAAGGTTTAGGGTTTAGGGTCAAGCGGCTTGGCTAAAACCCTAAACGAAATAAACCCTAAACTCTAAAATCCAGACAGTAAGCATCTGAAACCCCGACGGGTTTTTGGTTTCAGGTTTAGACTTAGATTTAGTAGGGATTGAGGTTCCGGCTTTGGGGTTTTCTGTTTAGTGTTTTGGGTTTAGTGTGTAGGGTTAAGTGTGTACTGTTTAGGGTCTAGTTTTTAGGGTGCAGTGTTTAAGTGTTTGGGGTTTAGTGCTTAAGCGTTTAGGCTTTCGTGTTAAGTGTTTGGGGTTTGTGCTAAGGGCTTAGTGTTAAGTTTCTAGGGGTAGTGTTGAGGGTCTAGTGCTGAGTGGTTAGGGTTTAGTGCTAAGGGTTTCGGGTTTGGTTTTTAGGGTTAAGGGTTTTAAGGATTTTAAGGATTTTTACAAATTGAAATGATCTGGGGAAGGCACCGGGGCTTCCCCAGACCATTGACAACTTTAAAAATCCTGCCGTTTAGGGTTTAGGGTTGTGTTTAGTGTTCAGGGTTTAGTGTGTAGGTTTTAGTGTGTAACGTTTAGGGCTTAGTTTTTAGGGTGTAGTGTTTAAGTTTTTAGGGTCTAGTGTTTAGGGTTTAGTGCTTAAGCGTTTAGGGTTTCGTGTTAAGTGCTTGGGGTTTGTGCTAAGGGCTCTTAGTTTTTAGGGTTAGTGTCTAGGGCCTGGTGCTGAGTGTTTAGGGTTTAGTGTTAAGGGTTTCGTTTTTAGGGTTAAGGGTTTCAAGGATTTTTTCAATTTTAAATGATCTGGGGAAGGCACCGGGGCCCCCCCAGACCATTTCTCAAAAACTCTTTAGAAATTTAAATGGTGTGGGGAAGGCACCGGGGCTTCCCCAGACCATCTGAACTTTTAAAATCCTTAAAATCCTATAAAAATCCTGAAAAATTCTGTTGAAACATTCTCAGGATTTTGAACGTTTTAAAGCCTTTTAAAAACCTTAAAATGCTTCAACATTTATGTGGCTGCCCTTTTAGGATTTTAAGGTTTTAAAGTTAGTTGTCAATGGTCTGGAGAAGCCCCGGTGCCTTCCCCAGACCATGAAAATTTTTACAAATCCTTTAACAGGACAGGATTTTAGGATGTTCAATTCTAAAACCCGTAACTTCCTTAATTTTGAACGGCTGCCCCTTTAAAATTTTGAGGTATTTTAGAATTTTAAGGGATAAAAGTGTTCAGGTTTTTGAGGACTTTAAAGCCTTCTAAATCCTGAAAATTTTGAATGGCTTTACATACCTTAAAGCCCTTAAAATTTCAAAAGGGCGGCCCGTTCAAAAAACAATTAAGGATTTTAAGGGTTTTTAAAATTTGAAATGGTCTGGGGAAGCCCCGGTGCCTTCCGCAGATCATCTAAACTTTAAAAAACCCCTAAACCCTGAAAAGCCTCAAAATTCTAAATGGCTGCCCTTCTAAAATTTTATGGAGCCGCAAGGGTAAGAGTGATTTTTTTTTGCTGTGCCGGCTTTTTTGCTCTGGGGGCCTTCTGCGTTTTTTTTTGCTGTGGGGGCCTTGTGCGTTTTTTTTTTTTTTTGCTGTGGAGGCCTTGTGCGTTTTTTTTTTTTGCTGTGGAGGCCTTGCGCGTTTTTTTTTGCTGTGGAGGCTTTTTCCTTTTTTTTGCTGTGCCGGCTTTTTTGCTCTGGGGGCCTTCTGCGTTTTTTTTTTGCTATGGGGGCCTTGTGCGTTTGTTTTTTTGCTGTGGAGGCCTTGTGCGTTTTTTTTTTTTGCTGTGGAGCCTGCGCGTTTTTTTTTTGCCTATGCCGGCTTGTTTGCTCTCGGGGCCTTCTGCGCTTTTTTTGCTGTGGAAGCCTTGCGCGCTTTTTTTTTGCTGTGGAGGCCTTGCGCGTTTTTTGCTGTGGAGGCCTTGCGCGGTTTTTTTGCTGTGGAGGCCTTGCGCGTTGCTGCTGTGGAGGCCTTGCGCGTTTTTTTTTTGGCTGTGGAAGCCTTGCGCGTTTTTTTTTTTTTGCTGTGGAGGCCTTGCGCGTTTTTTTGCTGTGGAGGCCTTGCGCGGTTTTTTTTTTGCTGTGGAGGCCTTGTGCGTTAATTTGCTGTGGAGGCCTTGCGCTTTTTTTTGCTGTAGGGGCCTTGTGGGTTTTTTTCGCTGTCGGGGCCTTGTGTTTTTTTTGCTCTGGAGGCCTTGCGCGTTTTTTTGCTGTGGAGGCCTTGCGCTTTTTTTCTGTGCTGTGGAGGCCTTGCACATTTTTTTTGCTGTGGAGGCCTTGCGAGAAAAAAATCAACGCAGCGGGGGGGTTGAGGGGGGCGCAGCCCCCCCCATTTGCAAACACACGGCTCGCACGACGGGTTTCACTCGAACTCGAACTCGATTCCGCAGCGGTCTGGTCTGACCTACTAGCTAGCTGTAGTTCATGACATGTGTCACGGCCGCTCTGTGGCGGCGGCTAACAGCTTCGGGTATGGACAGCAAGAGACGTCCCGCAGGAACCGGAGTTCAACTAGACTGCAGGCAAAACGGTCTCAAGCGCAACAGAGCCTACCAGGACCTACCGTGAACAGGAAAGAAATACGTGCACGTAAACTCACAGGGACAGTGTATGTACAAGGGATACTATTCTACGGCCGGTCTCACAGTTCGCTCACTCACAGGTCTAAACAGTGTGGGCACACTTGTGCCGCAGATGTCCTGGGGCCGATGAAGGTGCGGCACCCCTGTGCTGATGGAGCAACGCATGACTGCATATGGTGACATGGTTGAGAAAGGACACGGTACACTGAAGAGGAAGAGCACGAAAACACTCAGGGAAAGTGTAGCTATCTCATTTTCTCATCACTCAAGACTCCTTATCAGGGCGACCCGGACATGAAGTGCCGGTATCATGGCTCTGTGGCCGAAAGGTCGGCTTCACATGTGCCTTCCCTGTACATAGGAACAGAGACAAAGATTCAGACAGGGTTGCAAGCCTGTCCCCCCAAGCACCCTAGATGGGGGTGCACCCCCACTTTTGTGAGAAAAATAAGCTCTCATCGTCAGGCCGATCCGCTTTCCCCAGCAGGGGGCCTGCGGATGCAGCCAAGCACATAACAGTTGGACTGGATTTCGGGACTTAAGGTTTCAAGCCTTTCCGATGCGACACCGTCGTCCATGTACCAGGCTTCTGTCCTGCCCGGTATCAAGCCAACGGTTCTGTAGTGTCCTGTGAGAACTGATTCACCCAGATGCACAATGATAGAAATGAGGTCATAGGCAAGCCAATCACACGCTATGCTGCTTTCACTTCGGAAGATCGGCAGGTGGACACAGCGATTGTTGAATGTAAGAGGCACACGGGTCTTCCTCGTGACACCATTGGTCGTGGTATATCTAGGTAGAACAAGGAAAATGTGAGTCGGAGCTGTGCAGAGCGCATGCGGTTGGGCCTGCAGGTGCCAGCTAAGGATGAGGGTGTCCAGCTCCCCGTCTTGGATACCTCCAGGTGCTGCCAGAAGCAGCAATGGCGCAGCGGGCTCCCTGATTTCAGTTGTGCATCCCTCCTCAACCGCAACTCTCGCCTCCCAGTGAACGAGGCTATCAGTCCAAGCAAGCTTAGGGATGATGAACTGTATGAATTCACTCACATCATGCTGTCTGTTGGGCTGCGCCCAGCCTAGCATGTACATGCGGAGAAACATGGCTGCATCCCAGTGCGTTTTGGCAAGTGCCTTCTGCCAAGCATCGGGTATGCGGCTCCCCGGCCTGAGCTGTGCTTGCCACAGGGTGGCAGTTATGACGGAGTTGATGTAGCAAGTGTTGCCACTATTTTTAAGCTTGAGGCGAGAGACACTCGGCACACCAGCAGGTGGCCGTACGCTTCCTGCAGCGCTCAGATGTTTTCCAGGGCCTTTTGCAGTGCCATTGCCAGTCCGTGGCGTTGCTGGTTTGGCGGCTGCAGTTGCGCCCCCACCACATTCCAAACCGCGCAGTTGGCCAACTGTCGCAGTTTCTGATGCAGGATGTCTGCTCTCGGGTCTCTCATGGCTACTTCGATGAGGAACACTGCTTTGTCGCCTTCCTGGGGCTCTTGCTTGGGACGCCTTTGGGCGCAGAACCTGGTGACCAGATCCGGAAGACACAGCTCGGCGACCTGGTTGATGAGCTCCGTCGCCTCTTCCACCTTCAGGCTCTTGGCCGTCGCCGACGGCTCCACCTTTTTGGTGGCCGAGTTCCACTCCTGATACACGAAGCGCTTCTGCTGGTCTAGCCACTGATGCTTCATCGCATTCTCCACGGCCGTGGGATCTCCCACCATCAGTTGTACTCTTGCCACGACCTCTTTCAGCAGGAGGCCCAGCGCAACGATTCTCATCGGGGGGACGTTCTCTCCTTTCTTCTGTTTTTGTTGCCATTCCTGCCCCGCCTTGAAAAGCGGCAGCAATATGGTTCCTGGGCCTTGTTGCTGGAGGTGGAAAGTGAAGGATGTGTCCAGGCGTAGACGGTTCAGGGCGTCCTCCTGCTGCAGCGACAGATTTGCCAGGAGCGTCACCACCGAGTTCAGGTTCTCGTCTGCAATTTGTCGCCGGCCTCCCCGCTGTCCTCGCCGGGCCGCTTTGGGTCGCTTGTTCGGTGCGTTCTCGGTCTCCCGGTCCATTTCTCTCGGCTGCTTCGAGGTTTCTCTCATGTTCGTCGCTAGCCCTGGTAGTAGGTTGCCGAAGACGCTCACCACTTCCGTCGTCATGTTCACAGTGTAGTCCTATCAGGGCACATTGGAAGATCACATTGCATTGGAAGTAATGTCTGGAGGGGGAGGACCTGTCACACCACGGTGCCATTTCGGAGGAGTCGGGGCTTGACCTGTGCACATCGCTCCTCAAGTTTGCCGTTGGCGGTGACTGCCCACACGTCCTTGTGGGCCCTAACTATGTGTCGCTTCAGAGCCGTGGGATCGGCGATCCATCGCTTGCAAACACAGCAATGTTGCTTGAGGGACGACACAACATCGGCATCTAGCAGACTTTTCCAGCCTTGTTGCCGAGCAACATCAAGAACCGGCTTTTGGGCTATGGGAGGCGGCTCATTTGCAGTGGCCTCCTCTGGAGCTTTTGGATTGGTGCTAGTATCTGCTTCGGGGCCGACCGCGGCTCCCTGAGTACTGCATTCCGGATAAAGAACAGGGCAGTATCCTTTTTCAATATGTGCTTTAAGCCCAATCCATGCCCCGTATTTGAATTTACAGAAGGCACACTGGGGCAGACCTTTCAGTGCGTGGTTAGCCGGATCAAAACTGAGCAGTTCTGGCTTATCTTCTGGGTGCTTCCATGCCTTATGCTGTCGGAGGCTAGTGATAGTGCGAAATTGCTGACTGCAATGCGGACAGGTATAAGGGTCTGACTCCTTATCTTCAGGAAGCTGCTCACCTGAATTCATCGAATGGAGTGAGTTGATAGCCAGCGCGAGCTGCGCCCGGACCTGTGGAAGGGCCCTAATGTCGCTGGGGCACTCTGCTGCAACTGTCTCAAGTGCGTCATGCATTCTCTGGCCTTGGTTAGCGAGCGCCTGCAGGGGGTCCTCAGCATTGAGATGCTTCTGGATCTGTTCATTGGTCACTAGGGTAAGATGCGCCGGCTTTTTGGCAATAGCCCGCATCTGTCTGGCAGCCATTGCACGAAGATGCTTACGTCCTGTGGGTCTAACGCCCACCGCCAGTAGCCCGTGCGCTGCTGAGCTCCACACCCCGGCTCTCCAGATTTGGTACCTGGGACGGTTGTGCGTTACGCGTCTGGAGTTGATGGCTTTACGAAGCTGGCTATATTGACCCCTCGCCTTACGCATACGTAGTTGAACAGTTTTCTCCTGGGCGTCTCTATAGGAAATGACGGTACCTAGGTACTGATGTGTTTTCCTGAGAGGGATCAGAATCTGCTCGCCGTGTTGCATGAAGGCAAGGTGTGGGAGTTTGTCCTTGAAGACTTTAAGTTTCTGCAAAATCCTAATGGCATCTGCTCCCTTGGCGTGACACAGCACGACCGATTTGGTTGCGCTGAGAGTCATACCGTGGTCGTTAAAGGTTTGCACGACTTTTTGGATGCCGCAAATGGCACCCTGAAGGTCTTCAGCGCTTTTTAACGTCCATGCGGCTAAGGCGTCGTCGGCGTAAAAAGTGAATAGCTGCGTTACCCAGTCCCAGCCTAGGCGCTCCGCTAGTGTGTCAATGATAGCAATTGTGTGTGCCACAAACAAATACGGCGCGACCGTACAGCCTTGTTTGATGCCTCGTGTGGTCGTGACGTGGTCCTCATGAACGCCAACTGAGCAGTGATACCTTGCCTCAAAATGGAACTGCATAAGTAGTTGCACCAGCGTTTCGGAGACCCCTAGTCGTCTCAGGCTAGTGGCAAGGGCAGTGCGAGGTACATTGTCGAACGCCCCCTCAAGGTCAAGGGAGAAGCATATGCCTCCTGCGCATTTAACCTGGGTAGCTCCGGCATGAAGGTCATATATGCTTTGTTTGCTCAGGGTCGCATACGCACGTGCCTCTCTCAGGTGGTTATGCACTCTCAGTAAGGCGTCTAGAACCCCTCTGCCGGCAGTATAAGCAAATTGCGGTCGAGTGACCAGCGCTTCCTCAAGAAGTGGTCGGATGTGTTCTCTCAGCAGAGTACATACCGATTTCGAGAGAGGGTGGGAGAGTCCTATGGGACGAAGCCCGGACGGGCGGCTGGGGTCTTTCTGTGGTTTAGGCAACCATACGAGGTATGTGTCTTTCCACACGTGTGGGATGACGCAGAGGGACTCCTCCCCCCAGGATCGCATCAGGATGGGTTCCAGCGTTTTGGCTACCTGGTCACGGCACAATCTCCAAACTGCTGCCGGGGCCGACAACTTCGGCACCCCTTTGCGAAAAGGTAGTTTTCCTAGGGCCCAAACGAGGTCTTTGGCCTGAACAAGAATGGGTTCAGTGACTCGGTGATTGGGCAAATAGTCATCTCCCTGACAAAACTTGTTTCTGCTGTGCTTAATGAGCTCAGCCAGTTGTTCTTTGGGAGTGAGGATTTCTCCCTTTTCGCTGCGGATGTGTGTGCGCGCGAAGGGATTCCAGGGAGCTAATTTTCTAGCGCTCATCCACACTTTCCTTTGATCGCCCTTAGCGGCAGCTGCTTGAAGGTCCTCGGCGACAGCCTGCAGCTTTTCACGTTTAATTTTCTTGGCAGTTTGTTTCATCGCTATAGAGGCCACGCGAAACTCAGTGTACTTTTTCCATTTCCGGAGAGTTTCGATTAAGCTGTTCGCTTTGGTGGATTTCCATTCCCTGTACTTAGCCCACATCTCTTTCGCGGTGTGCTTAAACTGCGGATTTTGCGAAACGCGGTTGTCAACTGCAGGTTCTGGAGGGTAGACGGTTTGCATGTGTTCTTTCATGATCTCATCCACCTGCCGCGTGAAGCTGTGAAGATGCAAGTCAGGGTCCAGCTTCTGAATATCCGCATCGATGAGGTGCTTTAACTTCTTAGCCCGGTCATCTGCTTGTGCAATGGAGTCTTGGATGCATTGCCTCGACGCCATCGAAGGTTTGACTGGGTTCGGGAGGCGACATGGCGCGACTCTACGGATGTGAGCCTGCACCGGGATGTGGTGATTGGCCTTCCATTTTCCGAGGGCGACTTGATGCATGGGTCTGCTGTGTCTAGCAGTGCGAGTTGCGTGCTGGACCCTACACGCAACGAAATCCAATTGTGTTTTGGTGCCTTGGTGCACGCACGTATGTGCCGGAGTGCAGTTCCACGTATTGAGGAGAGTGAGGCCGAAGTCCTGGAGTATTCCGAGAAAGTCATCTTCGTCAGGCGATCCCTCTACTTTGGCAACCACGGCACTACCTATCAATCCCCTCGAGGTTTTGATGGAGCAGTTGAAGTCTCCCGCAATAATCAAGTCGTTCCTTTGTGGACTCTTCATGATGCTAGACCGTATCGCATCCCAGATTGAGGCCCGAGCTTTCAGGTTCTCGGCTTTGTCAATGTTTGTCCTCCACACATGCTGGTAGACATTCAGAAGATCGGAGCCGTTCTGTTGGTGATGTAGTCGAACCGAGAGTACTCTGCCTTGCCTAATAACCCTGTAGCTAACATTATCTTGCTTGCAGATATTCTGATGGATCAGAGTGGCAACTCCTGAGCATTTGTCTTTGCCTGTAGCCCCTGAGGAGACGACGAACCAGGGGCCGGACGAGAAGGTGCGGCACCCCTCCTGTTTCCAGTGTGTTTCCTGCACGAACACAATGTCAAAGTCATCTGGTTTCTCACTTAACCATGACATGAGTTCTTGCCAGGCCGCCTGCGACCCCCCGCTCATGTTCCAGGTGAGACATCTGAGGTGAGATGCTTTGTCAGATTTGGGATGCTTTGAGGGTTTAGCCGGCCGGTCATTCGGCCCCAGCTGGTGTATGCCCCCTGTGGTTTTTGTCAGTGTTTCCCTAGTGTACCATGTGCCCTTATAGTGAGTGCCGCCTGTGGCATAGGCTCGTGCGCGAGCTCGTCGCAGCGATCTCTTGGCGATCCACCCGATGCTGTTGTGGTGATTACGTATTGCCTGGCCAGTGTCTTCGCCCATTCTATTGGACTGTTGGGGCCGATGTTGTGTGGCTCCCACCACGGTACTGGAACCCGTGGTAACCCTCACGTCTGCTCGACCCCCATTTGCTGTCACGAAGCTTCCACAAAGGATTAGGATCCACATCCAGAAGAGACTTCGAAAGCTTGGGGCCCAGCCGCTGGACTTGGGACCAGCGCGGCTCGGTGATGTGCGTCTGGCGGGCTCACCCATCTGTGTTGTAGATAGGTTAGTGGTGCACGTGGCATGTGTGCTGAGGATGTAGGGTCTCCTTCTGTAGCAACCTCTGATTCTCCTGGTGCAGAGCCATTTAGTTAGTCTATCTCTTTGCAGCGAAAGAAGCCTGCCTGCATAACCTTTCCCACCGACCAAAAACACTCCCAGCAGAAGGATGTGTCCCCATCTTAACCTAGCGTACTGACTCTCGGGACCTGGGACATCTCGTCGATCATAGTCCTGCGGCAGAGGCGAGGGGTTGTTGTGTATGCATTGGGTAGAGGAGACGGTGCAACGGATGTGATGATGCAAAACAACCCCCGTGTATGCTCTCTGAGCTGCAGTGCGGTCGTGGTCACGGTCATTGGGGGCCGAAGGTCGGCTTCCCCTGGAGGACCGGAAAGAGTGAGACCGAACGATGGCTTGCATGACGAGGTCAGCAGCCGGTGGCCCCTCTGAGCCAAAAACTTCTTCTCCCGATGCCAGGATCCTGACGGCCTTTATACAATGCGGGGCCAGCTTGCCATCGGCACCCCGGGTTAAATAGTAGCCGTTCATTGAACGGAACCAGACGGCCCCCGATTCTTTCGGGGAGAGTATGATTGCGATGTCACAATGCGCGGGGTAATTCCGATATTCACTTTTGTCTACTGACACGCAATGAATGTGTGTCCGGGACTGGGAGAGGCCTCCCGTGATGATGCCCTTCGCCAAGATCGAGCCGTAGAAGTCCCAGTTGGTTGCATGGAGGACGTGCTCCGGCAACTCGGCATCCCCAAGGGGCCGCATGACCGCTTCATCACGTATTCCTTTCTTGGAGTGACCTTGAACCGCCCTGATGTAGAGATCGGCACCTCGCCATTCGAGCGCGAAGCGTTGCTTGTCGTTCCAGTAGACCACCGAGCGGATGTAGTT